TGTAAAATTTTTTTTATTTTAAAAGATTATGATGTATTTTTTGCACCGAAACAAATCCCGCCGAGAGAAAAATCAGTAAAGAAAGAACAGCTTTAAATGGGAATAAGCTCGAAGTCACATGTATTGGTGATTGTTAAAAATAACACACATCAATAAGAAATAAAGTCCGTTTGAGAAAATTTAATCATGCACCTTTTTGCGTCGTTTCTATTGAGAATGTTTGCTTTCTCACTGGTAAGAATTAAAGCTAAACAAATACACAATAATAGCGTTGAAAATGAACCCTGATCATCAATATCGTTTTCGCTGTTCATTGTTACAGTTGCCGGTGTAGTGGTGCGGCTCCGCCAGACGGCTGAAACCGGTTCGGATGTATGTCGACCTGAAGTGAAAGTTACATCCATGCAACACGTTAATTGCCAGAAGTCCAGCGTTAGTGTAAATTGCCAAACAAGTTCTGGATTTATTTCATTCCCATCGCATCCATCGCAGACCAATATACACAGGAATCCAGAAAGATACGTATTCGACAGAAGTGACGATATTTCGTTGTTTGTGCATAAAAATATACAAAAGCTGTTTCTCTAGCTTTATAATTTTTCTATTTGTTGTATTTCTAAATCCACTCACCAACCCACCCATCCCGTTTTTTACGTTATTTCTCGGCTATGCGAAAGACAAGTGACAGTTGGGGGATTCCCCTAAAAAGTAGTCCGAATCACTACGCAAACAAAAAATAAACAAATAAGGCAATCGAAATTTTAGCTATCATAGCCATATGAAAGTTCTTTTTTCTGGTATGCTTCATATAGTGGATGACAAAGCAAATGCAAATATAACTGATAGTCCTTCAACACAGCATGCTTCATGTCGAATTAGGACAAAATCATGTAATCTATAAATAGGAATAAGAATCTAAAAGTATTTGTTCGTTTTCCAGTTGGTCCCGGTCTAATACTTTCCTTCGACCGATAGCACTGGACCAAAACATATGGTCAAAAATGTCTTTTTTCAAGAGAGAAGAATGAAGATTTTAAAGAATTTTACCTCTAGTATTCATTTATGGACACACGTGCCATGCTATATGAACGCTTCATTACAGAGAAAGACCAATGTTTCATCATGAACCAAATTTGGTTAAAATCCACCCTGGCATAACGGATGAATAGTCTTTTAAATAAGAATTTTTCGGACTCAACCTTCCTGTCCCCAGTTGTCGAATCAATCCCATCTATATGAGAAACTATTGCCCTCACCCATTTAAGTTTCAGACCGATTTTAGTTCAATTTAAGAAAAGCAAACTGAATTGATTCCCCCGCTGGAGCCCCGCCGTCGTCCCCAGAAACTGACTCAACCTCAATAATTAAACAAGGATATTTTTTTTACTAAAGCCTGGCAACATTCTGACATCCTTTGAGCAGAGCCAGCATATCATAGAACGTCAAGGAAATACCAACATATTAACATGATCATAATCCAAATTGTAATTTCATAAAACTGAGACAAAATCTAAACAAAGGAAAGATTTACACGGAAACTCATGGAAAAGTACAAGGAGGATAAGTCCAGGTGTTCCGGAAGAGTAAGCGTCCCCTGCTTCATTGCCGACAAGCGCCATGTTAACCTTGGTAAATCCGGTCACCGACATCACATGTGTTGATTTTACAAATAAGACCGTTTTCAGAAGAGATTTGCAGTATATTTCAATCATTTCGGACACAAAATCGGTTCGGTATTCGGAATGGAGAGGGATCGGTATTGGGAAGGTTTTTCTTATTTAAATAAAGAGGACGTCACTCTGTATGTGGCTATTTCATTCGGTTTCAAAAATCTGATCGGTTTTGAGAAGGATCGTTTTGGGGAGGGAAGTTGCACTGTAAGTAAAATGATGGTTTGTAGTGTTGACAAAGGTTCGGTTGAACAGCAGGGTTTTATTTTCTCATTGGGCTCTGCTTTCTGCCCACAAGAAGCTCACGTTCACTATTTTCAACAAAACTGAGACCTCATCACCAAAGATTAAATCTGTACATCTTGATATTTAGGAGTTTGAGTTGGCTCTTCTTTTTCCTCTTTTGGTCCCAACCTTCTGTTCTCTAAAATCAGATACAATGTTTACACAAACATTTGTTCCTATCACCCAAGGATGCTTCAGACCAAATTTGTCATTTCTACAGAGGAAAAAGGATTTTAAAGCAATTACTCTACTTCCACTATTAGACTACGCCCTTGAGGGGTCAGACCCAACATTTATATAAATCTACCTTTTGCGCCTTCAGGCCCCCGTGAGCTGAAACACGCGGTGTATAGAAATAGATTATCCTTCCGAGTTTGATCCTTTTGGCCAAATTTGATCAAATGTTGTTATGGCAATTAGCGATTTGAATAAAAATTAACGCTGTTGGATGAAATTACCAAATGAAGATCATTATAAAGAAGCAAGGATGAGTAAACTGATAGCGTGACTGCCGCTGATTAAAACATCCTTTGCACTGTATTTAATTTCCTAAGCTTAAAACGCCACTCCCTCTGTAATTGCGTAGATTCTTTCACTATATTCAACTCGCTTAACAGCAACTATTGTTACAACAACCTAACTTAACAAAATCATGCACGTGCCATTTTCTTTCGTGTGATTAAACATGTCTGGAGTCTTAAACTAAATACGACTGAGTGGTAAAATCATAGTAGTTAATTTTTTTTTTACAAACTTGATTAGATTTAGAAATAAGACACGTACTTTCCTGCTCTGCTAATGAACTCTGTTGTGTTTGAAGTGACAAAAAATATGACGACCGTCACAATACGATGATAGCTGATTATACCGTGCATTTAAGTGAAATACTCATATTTACCATGATAGCAGAAAGCAAAAAATAAAATATTAATTTTAACAAGACCTGGCAAGGCTCTGACTGTAAAGCAGATAAGTGTTTGATATAGTTTTTGTGTTGCATATAACTTATTTTGTTCTTTTCTCCTCAGAATAAATGGTTTATTAGTCTGACGCCCAATCAATCGCGCTAAAGTCCCCACTAGCCGAGCGGTATACCGCGGCTCGTATTTTACCAGGATTACAGTTTCTAAACAATTGACGTCCCTAATTTAAACCCATGTTTCAGGGAATATGGTTAGAAAACACTACCTAACTCGGGAGTTCCGGACCAGTGGTTATTTATTTGAATGTATGCCCTGCAATAATACAAACAAAAAGTTTACAAGCCACACACATTTTACGTTACCAATACAAACAGAACAGATCAGGTTGTTTACTTACAATCAACACTTTAAAATACGTACCTTTAACCGGGACTAATATAATCACCATAACTATATTGAAAATTAACTATAACTGAGTTATCATGCATCATGAGAGGACAAGTCGGTCGTTTTGTAAAATGATGACCTAAATTAAATAAGTGTCGGAGCACTGTTCCTGTCCGATCACTAGTTTAATAAACAAATGCAAAAACTCGGTTTTGTCTATAGATCTTTATCTGAATTTTAACATCAAGTATTTACAGAAAAGTTTAATCAGAATAGTGATATGAATTTGATATAAGTTGACAACTTCACAAATATAAAGGTTTTTTACGTCAATCACAACAAAACTGAACTAACGTCTTAGTTACATTTGCTGGCTGATTACCACCATGATTGACACTTCCTATCTCCCAGAGTTACTTCCCTTTATATATTAAAATCGTACCGATTTCCTTTTTTGCACTTTATGCGATAAGCTTGGGCCAATAATGATACTATAGATAAACTGTATGTCTAGCGACAAAGCGAACATGCCTCGGGGTAACTATAAGTGAATTACAAGTTGCTGGGTTCCACCTAGAATTGAGTTCAATAATGAAGATTGCCGATTGTCCGAAGTTTGATCAAAATCCCTCAAAGAATTATGCCATTAAAAATCAATGATGACCTTGATACTCCAACCCTACAGATCAAACTTGTTTGATACTATGGTCCTTAATTGTATCAATGAATTTAGATTGAAAGCCACAAGTACCTTGACCCAAAAATTCATCTAAGAAATGAAACAGCTAGTACAGAGTTTCTTAAAAAGTTACAATGAACTTGACCCTATGACCTTGTAATTCTAGTCCTTTATAAATGTGTTACGTATGACCGAAATGAAGATGCTAGCGAGCTGACAAGGATTTTCTATAAATAACAACTCTGACCTTCACCTTGTCCTTTGAACTCTGAAATTCAAATCTGTTAAAGATATATATAATGTTCCATCATTAGTGTGTGTATTCTTATCAAAATCCTTCATGGAATCGGCTTATAGAGCACTGACAACGATTTTCTATAGATAGTTACAGTATCCATAATCTTGACCCTGGAACATTGAAATTCAAACTCATCTATGGTAGAACACACCTTTCTAGGTTTGTGAAGTTTGATCAAATATTTTTTAGAAATGAAGCCACTTACTACATAAAGAGTGCTGACAAGGACAAGGAATACCCCTATATGCCCTAACGCATTTGTCACATGGGGATAATCATACAAGGTCAACGAAAGTAAGGAAAGACAAAATAAACTTAGTGTATAACAATATCAATATTACTTCTTCAATGTTTGATAGTCTTAATACATGCATTCCTATGTAAACAAGTACATAGCACACACATTATATCATATAACAATCATTCAATACTTTTAAATGAAAATCCTTCCATCTTGGTTGAATTTTACTAAGGTGCATTTTATCATTACAGGCATCACTTTTATCATTACAGGCATCACTTTTTCAGATACAAATCCTTCCTTCTAGGTTGAATAAGGTACCTTTTATCACAAGAAATATTACATTTTCAATTTCAAAATAAAACGTAAATTCAATCAATCAGATTTTGTTCATTAAGAAGTTGAAATCAATCCATTAAGATGACATCTCCCTCCATTCTCCTTGGCTTTGACCTTTATCGCCTCCATTAATGCGACCAGCTAATCAGGTGGTTTGCCTTTCTAACTGGCAACATATTTAGGAATGCTTCCTATCATAAGCTTCTCTCATTCTTAGTGACATCCAGTTGAGATTTTCAGTATCAACTTCTGGGTTTTTTGTTTGTAATGTCTGCTATGGCTTGTTGCCTCTTGATACCCGAATTTGGCGGTTCAGATTTTGTTTTCAATGTTTGAAGAGAATTCTCCTGTCCCATCTTCGCGTCACTGAGGTTTGTTGGCTGATTGAAAACAAAAGTACATGTCAAACAGAATCAAACTTAAAGACATAAAGATTAATTTACAAATGATATCAGTATAAAGAAATTCATTGTGAAGTGTAAAGTCAAAATACTGTTACATAACAAAGCTGAACTTGATTCCAAGGAGTGTCAGTTCTAGAGATCATTGGTCTATGTTTGTACAAAGTTCTAAATATCATAGTTAGTAATTAGCATGATCGAAACCTGCCATAAACTGACCTGTTGAGGTTTAGTGATTTCTGGCATAGCATGTTGTTTTGTCCAGTCCTTGGCATGTTGTAGGTACAAAACCTTGTTGTATTTATATTCATTTGACTAAAACAAAACAAAACACATTTTATAAGACATGTTTATCTTAAAAATGCAATATTTATGTTGACAATGCAACAACTATTTATCTGAAAGGAGACTTAACACCACAGGCAAATATTTATTGATTATATCTGGTATATAAAATTGATCTTATCTCTTCTATCATTTTTTTAGACATATCAATATAGTTTAAAAACCATATAGCGACATTTTTAAAATTCATATGTAAATTATGTTTGGTTGACCTTCTGATATCCTGTGCATCACAAGTTGGTTTCAGTGTATAAATGTGACTGAAATGACCCTGACCAAGGACAATGAAGTTCTCAAATATAATTGGGACCAACTAAAGCATTTGTTTTTTGTCTTGAAGACTTAGAATCCTTTTCTAATATATATCACTATGGTATGTATGTATCCTGTCCCTCAAGTTTCATGATAACTTCTTGTGAAATAAATATCATAAACATGAAATATCTAACTTTAAAATTCAGACGCCATCTTGAAAATTGGATCAGATTATATGACATACTGTAGACTGCTAGAATTCATACTGGTATTCCAAAAAGAACCTAAGCTAACAGCTAGTCCTTAAACAAATCTATAAAGAAACCGTTTGTGAGGTCAAAGTAAGCTTGATCTTTTCAGGTATTCCATCAATAAACAATGTCAAGTGATGAATGTGAAAGTGAAATATACACAAGAAAAGCCTAAGAATACGCAGAGCTAGGAAACTGAAAAAGTTGACTAGAGATTTCACAACTGCCATGTTGTTCCTTTTTGAATTAGAAAGAGATCAAAATATTCTAAAGCTCTCAATCAAACTAAGGTTTAACTATTATGCACGTATGTATACCTATTTCTACAAAAGAAGGATTATAAAACATTTGCTTAACTTCCTGTTTTTGGGCCCTGAACCTGCCTCCACTCCACCCCCCACCCTCCTCCCCCAAGGTCAAGACTCAACATTTATGAAATTTATTTCCCTTTCACAGAAGAATATTTCTGACCAAATAGGAGTTAACTCTAAGCATTTTTACAGAAGAGGGATTTTGGAAAAGTTTCTTTACTTTCCATATTGAGCCCTGCCCCTCCTACTCCTAGGGGCCAGGTCCCACCGTTTATGCGGAGTTGTGTCCCCTTAATCCAAGGACGCTTCAAGAAAGAACAATAACAAACTTCCATATCCAAAATCTGAAATGGCCGCCTATCAGCCAGTTTGACCAAGGAAAACCTGTCAAAAACCAAGATGGCCATCTGTCAGCCATTCTGTTTTTCTAATCGGTCAAAATGGGGACAATGCATAACTAGGGCTTAAGAAGCGACAATGCATAAGTAGGGCTTAGGGAGCTTCATATAAAATGACAAGAATTGTTTAAGAGCAGGCAGATGGACCATGGATGAAAGGTGATAGTAACAGCCCACCTTCTTCTGATTGTGTGCTACAAAGTGAATTAAACACAACCCTCAAAAACTACCTTCAACAATAACATTATAGTGGATAGAAAAAAAGACATTTCATGGTCTCACTTCAGGTTTTTTGTTACAACAGTTGGCAAGTAAAGCTTAGAGGTTACAAATATGGCTAGTCAACAGTACGATCAAAATATCTAAAAGATTCATTTATTTACAAAATGCCACTTTGAGACCAGTGGTAAACAGAATATATTAAATGCCCCAGGGTGAAAAGCTATTTTTAAGCTAAATTGGCTTGGGTCTTAGCTATAACTTTTACTTTTTATTTGCTAAAACAACAATAAAACAGAGTGACAGCTTCAATGTATCTGGAAAGCTAGTACAGAGATATCCCAAAGGGATATTAATGGATAAGATATCACTGAAGTGCCAAGCCTGTCAGACAAAAGAATTGCATTTAGAATAGTTATAGGCATATTAAGACCGATAAAATAGGCACAATACAAAAACAACAAAATTCCTTGAATATGTTGATACTAAAACTGATTTCCGTGTAAGTAAAGAGGATTTAGCAACACGGGACGAACAATATTAAATATTCAAGTATTTATTTTCACATGGCTGACAGCATGAACAGGATACTATCATAATAGTGAATAACAGGGCCTGTATTGCTCACCTGGATTTTAAAGCCAAGCAATGTTATACTTGCCTGTAGGTTGGGTATTTCAAATATTTACAAATTTAAGCTCAGACACTTAACCTCTTTGATGAGGTAAGACCAATGGGTCGACTCTAATATCATTACTGTCTTTCTCTTAAGTTTCCCAGTAAGAATGTATATGGTTTTTGGGTTGGTATCTAAACTATATCAATAATATGACCCAGAAATAATGTCCCTTGAGGTGCCACACCCAAGGGTCAATTCTTCCATAACAAATGTGGTTATCTCTTGATACCAAGCAATCCTAACATATATTGCTATATCCAGTTATGGGGTGGAGATCTCAACAGCTTTAAAGCTATAACAATGAAGCTAATCCCTGGGGGTGGGGCCAGACTCATTAGGGCCAATTCTAACATCATGATTACGTTGATGGCCATTGTTGCTATATATGGTTGATTTCCCTAATTCAGAATGATCAGCTGCATAAAGTCTGTGTTGCAATTCACTATCATAATGAGGTTATGGTGATGCAATACTGCATAAAAATCTTTTCTCATTAGTGTGAAGTATCGTGTATAGTATTTGTTATTTTCACAGTAAGATTGCATAATAAACGCAAGACTAGCAAATACATCTATTTTATTTTTAGCCACTTCTGTTTAATGGTAAATATATGACTTGGCTGATCATAACAGTAAACATTGTATCATTACTCTTGGATTTTATGTCATTATTAAGAATATTCTTATATATACTCACAATTTCTGTCATGAGGGGATCTTCTGGGTTGGGTTCAGCCATTAGAAGCTGTATAGTCGTAAGGACAGTACTGACGTTCAAACATGGCTTCCATGCTCCCTAAAATAGATTCAAAATCTGGCTAAATTACAATACCAGATTCAACCCAATAAGTGTAGTTAATAAATATTATTAATAAATAAGATACTTAGTAAAATTGCTTAAAGTAGAGAGTTTACCATTTAGTCATATTTCTTTGATGCTGCCAGGATGGGTATAAATGAAGCAAACAATTAAAAGTCTTCCTGTTCAATATCAATACATTTGGTTCAGTACTTCCTGTTCAATATCAATACATTTGATTCAGTACTTCCTGTTCAATATCAATACATTTGGTTCAGTACTTCCTGTTCAATATCAATACATTTGGTTCAGTACTTCCTGTTCAATATCAATACATTTGGTTCAGTACTTCCTGTTCAATATCAATACATTTGGTTCAGTACTTCCTGTTCAATATCAATACATTAGGTTCAGTACTTACTGCTCAATATCAATACATTTGGTTCAGTACTCTTGTACAATATCAATACATTTGCTTCAGTACTTTCTGTTCAATATCAATACATTTGGTTCACTACTTCCTGAATCAATCTCACAGCAGTTCCAAGTGCAAATTTCTCAGAAATAAGATGAATTCTGTTCAAGGATATCTTGCTGTAAAATCTGCTGGGTAGTACCAGTTACATCAAGGGGAGATGATTAATGACTGAACTGACACTCAGGTTTAGTACACATGTACATTTGTAGTTAAATTTCACCACTGAACAAGTGATAAGCTATACCACTGAATTATTCATATCAAAATATAACTGAGTCACATATTCAAAATTCAGTCAAGAAACTGTACAGTTAAGGATTCTAATTTGCTCGATTCTGAATATTTGTTTATCCTAAAATGAAATTATAATTTAACTTCAGTGATTAAAAAGCCTGCATAGGGAAAATTGCATTTCTAAAGTAAGAACTGAAAGTTGCTAAAAGCAATCTTTATTATTATTTGCTAAAAAAGCAAAATTTTGCTAAATTTAGCCAATTTTGCTATTTAAAAGGATTTCTGGATTAGAGTAACAACTGAGTTGATAGGTTTTTTTAACAGTCATTTATTTGCAATGCTGAAAAAGCATTACTCATGTGACATACATTATAAATATTTCAATTTTTACTCAAGTTGGACTCCATGAAACTAATGAATTTAGCCTGTTTTATTTGTCCATGAATTTGACCAGTTTAACATTGATCTAAACGTATATATCTTTTGCAGATTCTGTTAGGGGAGAGAACCATTACAAATATTTGATGCTGAACTTTAGATAAAGATTTGGAGATTATAAAATGATGAAGGAATATAATTTGATAAAGATACATAGTGTGTGATAATTGTTAAGTAGATCAAAATATGATATTTTGGAAATTTTAAGCAAAACAGATTTGTTTTCCATGTTTTGATATCTACTTTCGTTGTCACCTGCTACAAAATTTTTTAAACCCTCCAGTGCCTGAACATGGTTATCTTTAACGAGACTTAAGAAAATCCACTGAACGATTTTGATACAGAACTGCTTCTTGATGTCAGAGGCAATTTGGCTCCTGAGAAAGGTCACAAAAAACACTCCATGAAAATTTTTAAAAATGGCTTATGCTTAAATACATAACTGTGTGACAGACAGACTGGCTGTTTCAGTCATTCTTACCTTAGGAGGCATTTTAAGGGTATCCAAACAGATGCGTCCACCATTATCAATGTTGGGGTGGTATATGGGAGTAATAAACCGCACCTTTGGTGGCTCAAAAGGATACCTAGCAACGAAGTATATATGTATAAGACTAATATTACATACCATGTTGATATTTTTCAATGCTACAATGTGGGAGATAGCAAACACTGGAAGACATTTTGTATTTTACCTACATGTTGCTGCAGATGGAGTCAGGTGTATTGAATTCCTAGTGTGCAATATTGATGATTGTACAGCTGTGTGATGAAGCCTTTAAACTAACGATAATGATACAGTACTGTACATGTGTTTCAACACAGTAGCCTGGATATAACAGCAGAGATATTCTCTTCCAATTCTTCAATATACAGGGCTAAATTTGTAATGCCTTTAATAAATTAAACAAGTCTTTGCACCCTAGATTTTAAAATTAACATGTGATCATGATTTACAAATAGTACTGTATCATGACAGATAAACAATTTCATGATGAAAACATTACCTCTCTGGAATTTGAATTTCAATCTTAAATATTCCATTTTCATATGGAGTGCCCTCTCCACCAAGAATTTCTGAAATATATGAAGTGTATTTAAACTTTACATATTTATATATAATCTAGAGTATAAGCTGCAAAAAGAAGTATGTCTGGACTCAGGAGAAATAGATATATACCTTTTGTCCTTATGTTAAATAAGAATAAAAATAAAAGATAGTTTGTCGACTAAAATGGTAGTTAAACTGTGTTGCTTCCAATCCACATTCAGTTTTAATCCTGCAGTCCCTGTCCTTTCTAGATATCTGTTAATATTATCTTTTTTTTGTACCCAAAGAAACAAAACACTCAGAAACAATAAAAGGTTCATTTTCATCAAATTCATAATTCAATTTTTAAACAAAAGCAATGTGATAAAGAAAAAAGCAACCACAACAATATTGAAAAATAAATGTTTATTATTTACTAAATTAAAGACATCATTACTGAAATGTGAACAAGTCAGTTCGTGTAAAAGTGTATTTGTTAATTCGTTGTTTTCTATACCATATCACGTGAATCACGTAAAACGAAATATTGACAGTTTATGGCAATGTTGAAAAATGCATGTTGTATCGAGTATGGTTATGTAAAACAGTAATATCATCGGTACATGTGTTGGGTAAATTTAACGTTGAAAGTATTGTATTGGGTAGTATTTTGTTGTATTGGGTAAATCGTCCGTCGATACTGTTTTCAACTTTCAGAACTCACGTGCTTCAAGCTGGTCTATTTTATCGTCCTTTGGCCAACAAGATATCCCGTGAGGTGGGGATTCCGATAGCATCTTGATTTCCTTCTTCATTCGGCTTACACGCTGCATTATTATAAATATCGTTTGTATGTTGTTTTTTATTCGGACTTCCCGCTTTATGTCGCTTACACCATTAAAATAAATACAATAAATTTTGTATCCGTAATGAAAGAAATCACATATCCCATTTATTATTTGAAATGGAAATTTACTCAAACATGTGATCGCCTACGGAACCACCTGGGAAGGAAAATAATTTTCTTGTCGCTTATATCACAACAAAAGCTCTATTTTCGTTTTCATAATTTTGGGGGGGTTACATATTTAAACACCAGAACCGATAAGAACACTAATTGACGACAAGAGCCAACAAGATGTCCAAAATTTCAAACAGGACATCTCAGCAACCGACAAGAGGAAGAAATAAATAGTAAGAAACATTAACTAACAAATCAAATCGAGAGAAATCGCCAAATACAGTATCTTTTCAATTTTTATAAATCCATCAAGCTGTAGTAGAAGATGAAAAACCACAGTCTTAGAAGTCGGTGAAGGTGAATAGAAAGGGTAATGGAAAAACACCCTGAGGAATTCGATCCTTTCCACTGGCATTTACTGAACTAATTTATTGTTTCTTTAATTCTGATAAAAGTAAGTCGATTTTTTTTTTAAATTTTAGTTATACAACAAGCATCCTCGATACTCCAGTGGTACCAATTACTTTCGCTCTCTGCACCTCTGGAACATGTCATGTCAAATTTGAAGGCAAAAGCGAAGTAATTGGATTTGTTCCACAGAAGACAAAAAAGACCCAACCACAGACTGGTACGCTACTTTTGAAGATTACAAGGCAGCGAAACTCAACTTTAAAGTCATTTACAATATACCGTAATGTGACCTATAGATTTGTTTGGTGCACAGTAAAGGATAAAACTAATCTTTTCGTCTTGTCGTGACGCCTGGAATACAGAGGATGTACAAATAGAAGTGTATTAGTATAATATGTAGTGTGGGTAGTTCTTATTTATTCCAACATGCGTTCTGAACAATAGACCGTGAAACATGCTTTATTGCCTGGGCGACACTCGTGTCGACACGCATAACTTGTGGGGACTTGTGGGAACCGACACGAATAATTAACGACCAAAACGGAGAAAACATCAAATTACAAAATCAACTAAAAAGAATAATACCATACAGTGTGTTCCCACCTTTAAAAATCCAAATGTTGGGTGTTGCTCCTTTCCTATCTTCAATGAAGCGTATCGGTCTTTGATTGGTCAGTTTTTTTTACATGAAACATACTGTATTCCTATCCAATTATTTCGTTTGTGCCATCAGTTTCGCCCAAAATATTCCAGTGAGCAGAGAGTGAAAGTGATCATAACCCCTCGGGAATCGAGAAGGGTAAGACAGTTGAATTTGCGCTATACTTTTGCAGAGAAGAAAAATATAATATGGCCGTCTTTTTTTTTGGGGGGGGGGGGGGGTGTCGAGAACTTACTGGTTAAGTTATTAAATACATCCCTAAAACTTGGGACATTTGAATCAATCTTGATAAATGACACGCGCTTGATGTAAAAGAAAGTGTGTAGATTACTATATCACGACGACATGGACTGAAGTTCCACGTCACAACAAACTATTAACATTAAAATTTCCAAACATCAGTAAATCTAATGTGACCATGACAGGTAAAAGCTGACTGTTGACATCAGCAGAAACATACTAAATTACTTATTTACAAAAATCTGTTCAATAGACAAATGGAAAGAAATAAATCAACAGAACAAAACAGGAAAAAAATAATTTGAAATGATTATGTTTGGTAATTTGGTGTGGATGTGAGGTGGTGGTGTGTTGATGTGCGTACGTGCCTGCAGAAAGCTAGCAAATTGAGCTTAGGGTTTTGCAAAAATTTTAATGGTGTTCACGATAATAAATGTCTTGTCGGTTTCTTGTCGTCTCTTTTCGGTATTGTCCGCTCTTGTCGATAAATAGTGCAACCTACATTAACTGGAACTAAGTGAGATTGTCTTTCGCTCACTGGAAGTAAATATGAACATACTGCAACGGTTCATTAGCGGACGGTATGTTCATATATTCACTATCAATGCATACATTTAAGAGTTTAATAAGCCTTTTTACTTCTATGGGGTTGTCAACAGATTTCAACGGTTTTCTCTGCTCCTAGTATAGTGTTGCGCAATCGTTGCCAACTTCTGGGTGAAAATGGCGGAGTCTTTAGAACAGCCAGAGGAAAACAATCCATTAATCAGATCGATTAATAATGATGTCAGCGTGAATGTTAGGTTTTCAAACAGAAGTGGAAGGACAGCTTCTCTACTTTGGTATAACTTCAAAGGAAAGTTTGTGAAGTATGGCATTTTACATCACGGCGATATCATGGACATGTTTACATACGTGACCCACCCCTGGGGTGCACGCGATGCTGTAAGTGGGGATGTGTTAAATATTGGAGGACATTCTGTGTATTATCCTCAAGTTCCAGCAAATGGAGTCCAGCCTGACGAGTTCCCAGTTTGCAATATTGATTTACCACGTACGTAAAATTTTTAGACAAACTGTATTTGCACGTATATTTTCATATCAAGGTTTTCATAGCCAAATTTGTGCTTTCAATTTTTTTTATAAAATGTCAGAATAATTCGGACTAAGAACTTTAGTGCAGATTGTTTGAGTAATATCTGTGACAGAGGTCATTTTTCATCTCAATGCCTCCTCTAGGAATCGAACCCAGGACCCCTGGCTTCCTAGTCAGATGCTCAACCAATCGAGCTAAAGAGAAGTTCTCTCTAGCCGAGTGGTATATTGCGGCTAGTATTTTACCAGGGTTACATACTCCCCCCTCCAGGAAATAACTCATCCTGGAGTTTCCAGGGGTTACAGCTGCGCCGGTGGGGCATGGCTAAGTACAATTCCTGGGTCCCTACATGGGCACCAATGTGACAGAGGTCATTTTTCATCTCATTGCCTCCGCTAGGAATCAAACCAGGGACCCCTTGCTTACTAGTCTGATGCTCAACCAATCGAGCTAAAGAGAAGTTCTCTCTAGCCGAGTGGTATATTGCGGCTAGTATTTTACCAGGGTTACATATCTAATTTCAAAACAGAAATCTTCATAACACCAAACAGTTATGTCCCTTGGATCACTCAGTGACCCAAGAATTTGTTACATTTGTAATAGGAAGAAGAAATATTCTACCTCTCGATTAAATGGAAATTTCCACTTGCCATGTTTGGTTAAAAATAGATTATTGGTTGGTTTTCGACTAACAAGGGATATATAACACCCTCATTTCTGCTTGGGTGTAATAAGTCCTGTGTGTTAAGTATCATGGAATAACCAACTTACAGCATGCTCCTCACCTTGAATAAACCGTAATAGGGAGTGAAAAAAACTCACCTTATCAGCCCTATAACCTAGTCCGAATTATTCTGATGTTCTATCGGGTTTTTTTTTTACTTGGTCTGGAGTCAATAACGATGTTCATTAACTGAAGACCATATTTGTAAAAAATTGATAAAACTTCAGAATGATTCCGCCTACATACCCGATTACCTATCTCTAACTCTTCATTGTTTTGTTTTTTTGTATTATTTTCCAGTACAGTACTTTTATTTTATGGGTACCAGAGATCTCTTGGATCATTATTGATAAACAAGTTATTATCATCCATTATGACAGGCACAAGGATTATTTTCCTATGAAAGTGATCATGGATATTTCAGCATAGAATATTCGTAGATATTGAGGAAAATTTGAACGTGTATATATGAAGCCTGAATTCCAAATTGGATAATCCAAAGCTCCAGTGTCATAGAAGGAATAAGATTCAATATATTGGATACCAGGGGAAAAAATTACTGAGAAAAGTTGTAGAAGCATGGTATTTTGTTGACAGGTTCCAAGGGTAAAGCCCAACAAAGTTTGTGGAAAGGGGTCAAATTTGTTATATCCTTTAAACAATTTCTTCTGACTTACTAAAAGATTTTATTCAGATTTATTTCTCAATTGAAGTTCATGTAACTTCATACAAAGATTTACTGTAACAATATCCCTGACAACCTTATGTTTTTAAGCTTGCTCTCTTCTTTTCAGATTTCCCGATATGTCAAGCTAATATGTATCTTCAAATAATATATATGCTAAAAAAACTCTTGAAAAGCTAGCTCTGGAATATTCATTTTGCTGGGAAAATGACAACCCAATGTCACATGGTAAAAGAAATGAGGAATGAGTTTGTATATATGGTTTAAACATTATGTCATTCAGTAACATGTAGAGCTGCATTGGATGGAACAGAAATCCAAGGAAAAATATTTTTGAAAATATATATACATTTATATATGCAATATTGTGATATGTGTACTTACTCGGAAAGAAAAACATTTAAAATGTAACTTGATTAGATTTATTTTCTATTTTACAGTTTATTCATTGAAGGAAATATGTCTCCAGCAAGTACAGAAGCTATATCCAAGAAAAAAAATTAAAAACATTGAAGATGTGTTGCCACATACTCTTGTAACTGAACTCAAAGAAGGTGGGAAACATGAGGTTCACTATCTTTACAAGAATGTGAAGGTCAGCAAGGGTTCACACGTGAAGCACACATGTAACAAGGACGGCCTTGTGGAATTAGTGAAACTTGATGGACAGATCATTCCAATTGGTGACCATCAACTTGACACTGATAGTGATAAGGAAGAAGATGACACTTCTTAATCTAACTCCAGAAAAACTAAATCTAGTGATTCTTGCTCTTGTTCTTAGGTGGTTGGTGGCTTGGTCACTTATTTGATATTTGAAGGATGTATTGATTCGGGCTGCATGAATCAATTCCTTCCTGTGTGCATAACTGAAAATTTCAAGGGCATTATCTAAAATAGAGCTCCACATGAACATGCACTTTATGTATTGTAGGGTCACAAGTAAACCACAGTGTCACAAGTAAACCACAGTGTCACAAGTAAACCACAGTGTCACAAGTAAAACACAGCTCTACAAAAACTTTATCTATTGCAGGGTCACAACTAAAACATCTTTTCTCTTTTACATATGCCAGATGACAGACTTTCTGACAGACAGATGTCTTATGTTGACTAGACACGTGTCTGTCAAAATATCGAATGGTCTGAAAGTCAGAGAAAATTTGTTCTACATGGAGATAATGTAATGAATTGTGATGTATTTGTACTGTGTGATATTTATCTGTTTCTGATATACTCTATTAAACTGTGATATGTTTTAAATTCATGTGCAACATATTGTTACTTCATTAGATTTAATAAAGGCATATATCTATCGTTATATAAGTATTTATGATAATTTGCAATAATAACAATGATTAAAATGCTAGACAATAGCCATTTTATTCACTTGTATTTAAGGCCACAGACAATTTCACAAAACAAGGGGATTTATAATATAGACATATTGCTATGCTTGAGGTGAGGAAAGGCTAGAGAAAGATCACAGGGACTTGACACTATTTCCCCCAACACTATACATAAAATGTATATATGTTACAAATATATAGTCAGGGGAATCCAGAATTTATGCCAGGTCCCTGTGACAGGAAGAGATTGAGACCAAAAGTCAAACCAAAGATTCTAAAATCTACGGTCCAGATATTGTAAATACATGTAATTAAAAATACAATACCTGGTATTGATGATGTGTACCAAGTCCCCTTGACTTTGATAACAGATTTTGCCAAATAAATGTGAAATCTTATCAAACTGTATTAATACCATTTTTATTCTATTCATACTGGGGCAAATGGTCGTTTATTTATTTTATTTAATCTTTAATTTGTCAACAAGTCAAACAAGTTCTTTTATCTTTTATTTATTGCATGTAGCCGACTATAATACCTGTAGCCAGCACAAGAACAATACCATGATACTATTTAAATATAAAGCTGTGATTATTTCACAAAATATACAGCATTAATTTTTTAGTGGAAACTGTGAGATTTATCTCCCTTCGAATAGAATTACCTACAAAAGTTAAAGGACAAGTACAATTATTTTGCCTCCTTGTGAAAACACCTGTTCTCGGCCAGCAGTTCCCTATTTCTTGTAAGATCACCACAGAGGGATGGAAATATTATTGCATAATTCATATCCATGCCTTGTTGAGTTTAGAGGGCAACCTCTGTGTGGCTTTAGATGCTGATGGAAAACACATCCAAATCTAGTAAAGAATGTACAAATGATGTTTTTCTAAAATTTATATGTCATCAATACATGAAATAGATTTATATACGGCACTCTCTAGAAAGTAATAATGAGTTTAATATCAATGTCATTTGAGAAGTATGAATTCCAATCAACATGGTGTGCTCAATACTGGTTCACGATTGTACTGAACTCGGAATCAGCTGGTTAGGGTTTCTTGGACACACCATAAGATGCTGAAAACATTGCGTATTAGTTTTAAAAAATGACAAGATGACATGGGACATAATTCAGAACCTTCTTAACAATGTTTAAATTCACATAAACAAATTGAAATCCTGCCATCCCGCTATGAAAATTGAGATTTTAGGAACGCTATATAAATATCAAAGAAAATAACTTTCTGCAATCAAACACGAACTTAAGCACACCAAAATGTGTTTTTGAAGCTGATGAATTGATCAAGAGATCGGATTTTATTATCTTACTGAATGTATTAAAGCTGCCCTGTACAACTAAATCTGAATATACAATCAACCTTGGCGATTACATTGAACAACAGTATCACTATTAAACAGATTATACAAGTCCATTGTATTTTGTAAACTGTATTTCCCAAAATTATGTGAAAATGAGATATGATCAATTAAAATCAAAAACAAAAATAAAAAAACTTCCAGGGGAGAGTTTTTAGCACCTATACGTAGCAAATATATGCGTGCGTTCAATCGGCTCCACCAGGGATAAGTGCCAGTATCCATGACGGGGTTACATATATACCCCTCTTCATCAAAACCCTGTCTTAGCATTTTCAGTTCGAAACAGTGATAATTACGGTTGAGCTTGCATTTTGAATTGTCCTTACGGGTATGGACCGATTTGATTTCCTGTGGCCCTGCATGGATGACAATGTTGTTACTTTTTGCAATGCGTCCTCTTGGGAAATGATCCCGCCAAACGCTGTGCTCTTTTAAATCGAAAAGGCTAGTACTGCTGTGTGTATGGAGTCTACATACTAAATCGATACAAATTATATACTTCGTGTATAGATATCAATCGCTATGTCTATAGAAGCAATCACAAAGTATTTTGCAATTACCATGAACACATGATAACTGAAATGAAATCCCAATACACGTCAGTGATGGAAATGTACTACACACTACATACAGGTAGGGTAAACTTCCCTTCTATCGCCTGCATTTGACGATATTTCGTCGCCGATACAAAATCACTTGGCCATGACGTTTGTCGTAAAGAGTACAAAGTGTATCGGTGATTTCAGTCCGCTGGGGTTTCGCTTGCGAGCTGTTCTGTTGTTGAAACGGAGTCGGTGCACCTATAAGGGATAATTTTAATTTCTTTACAAAATTCACAATGGCACCCGTTAATGAGACAATTTTAGCACTGCGAACTGAAGTAGAATTGCTGAAAGCATGGCAGAGTTACACGAATGATAATATGGACCAGTTCTTCTTGATCACTATGGGAATAATCATATACTGTAAGTATTTTTTTTTTCATTTCATTTCATACTCCAGAATTTTCTTGTCTCCTTTTTCCCATAATTATGATAATCTTATTGTTTTAACCAAAACTGTTGATTATGGCTCGTGAAATTCTCTCTGTGTGTCCAATCTGTTAAATCAGTGCCATCAATGAATTAATTGAAATAAAGTTGTAAAAGAATTCGATTTTTATAAACGCCTTAGGTCGGGATCGAACCCCTGACCTTATGATCTTTTGACACAAGGCTCTTCTCTCAAGTCTAGTGGGTAGGTCACAGGGTCACGTCATGAAATTATGCATATTCATAGATAAAACATGGAAAATCTAATCCCCTTACTCGCTTTTCGGTTGAAATAGGAAAATGAAAGGTTTGCTGAGTGATCGAATTTTCGTATTATTTCTACCCATGTTTGATATTCCCCCATCTTGTGAGGAAGGAGGTGAACCTGCTTTATTGCCCCTATTCTCAGTGTCTTGTTACATATATAATCACACCATTGTTATGTAATCCATCCGTCTCATACCGAGGATGAGATAAGGAAACCGCTGAAAGTGTGGTAACGCCTGTCAGAGTTGCAAACACCGGGCAAGCCTCGTTTTTGCCAGCTTAATCATCTTTCCTCTCAGGTAAAGATCTCCAATCTCACCTCTAAGGGAGTGAAGGATTATTTCATATACTTAAGATATACCGGGTATTCCTCAAACAACCCCCTAAACACACCATCTAGTATTAAAAGTCCAGTAACATCTAATTTAACAAACAACTTAGAAGTTATGACTTTGAATTATAGCTGTAGGGATCTGTCGAAAGGTCAGAAAAATACAATTGAATGTTACATTTCACTACAAGACATTAAACTTGCAACTACGTCCTGAAAGCTTTAACAAGTGACTGTGCTTAGATATTGTTTCTGATAAAACTTTTAAAAATTAAATTGGCGATGCAATTTTAAAAAAATATAATCGTAATATTTTAAAGTAAGAAAATATGTTGTCAACACATCACTCGGACAACTCTGCATTCCTGTCACAAAACGAAATAGCAGTACAAAGATTCTAGTAAGTTTTGTAAGAGTTTCTGTCAGTATGCGTTATTAGTTTTCTTTTCTAACACTCATTTACGAACTATAAATACATTTGACCCGTTTAATCCAGGTCAGCCGTACACGCGCTATACTCATGCTTTCTGACAGACATCTATTTATACAGTTCGTGATTTTTGAATTACATCCGTGTATGTCCGGGTAACATTGAAGAAATGGCCTTGGTTGTCTCGTGAAATTATACAATAATGGAACAATTCAAAAGCTGTACCTTTAAATCAAGCTAGCTATATTTAAACGTAGACAAAAAAACCCCTCTATTTCTTCAGTTTTATTTTTAGTAACGTCAAGGTTTACACTGATATGGTTTAAGATTAAGTATTTACGTGTAATGGCAGAATGACCTCAGTAGATTTTGCGAATAATTACCTCAAGTTTTGGGGATCAGGTCATGGTTTTGTGGACAAATTGACCTCTATTTCGATGTCATACCGATAAAGAAATTATTGCCGAATATTAATGGCTACCACGACAATGCTCAAAGCTATTGGTTACATGACTTTGTGTAGAAAACGTCACGATAGTGAAGCCAGCTGATCACTTTGGGAATGCAATTTTTTACTCATAGGATTCAACAGAGATGCCACGGAATTGCGTGTGGAATTATGTCTTACTAGTATCAATCAATATTTTTCTTTTTACTTTTTGCCGCCTACTTCCTAAACTAGCTAAATGGTATAAAAAAACGAGGTGAATGAAATTTATAATATGTGTATCAAAGTGAATGATCATCATTTTTACCTATATACAGTCTGATCTGCTATGAACTTGCCAATAAATCACAGTTTTACTGACTGAAGTACATAACATATTCATCTTTAAGACAAGTTCATAATGTATGTGTTATAAGATGAAGTATGCTAAAATAGTATTCCTGGTTTGCAGTGCAAGGTCGTTGTGAAATTTGTAATCCTCCCTAAATGTGTTTATTAAAATCCATCAGAGATGCAGATTAAAAACATACATGTTTAACATATAATGATGTTAGTCGTGGCAATATATTTTTTCCCATCTTTATACAAAAAACTTTGCCCATGAAATATGAACCTTACGGTGAAATGTGATATAGTTTACAATACCTTTCTCACACCTTTATGGGACATATACCACGTTTTATGAAATTGAAATTGCATACCTGTATGCCATGTCTTGCATAGAATGATAATTTTATTGGAATCGGGTTTCAGTTGGGACGCATAACTTAATATTAGGGTACCTTGTCATCTTGGAATACCTCGTGTATTATTTTGTTTAAAATGATCCTGACATGAATACTGAAGTATAACGCTGAGCAATGTTTCTGTTATGTTTTTAACCGTTCAATATCCAGGATGATAGCATGCATTCAATAACAAAGGTGTGTTTGTTAGAATTCGATTCAAATTTTAAATCATGTTACGCCTTAACATTTTACTTGTGTTCAGGTAAACTTAAGCGAAAAGAATTATCGTTAGCAGAAAGTCTTGTCAGCTTTATGATAATAGCTTAAGTTGTTAAATATCATTGAAAAAAATGAACGACATCTGTCTCAACATTTGAAGCCCTTTGTTTATCATATTAGTAAGCACAAGTATAATGATTCAGAATAATATGTTATTTTGATATATGTATCAGTCATTGATATTTCAAGTCATTCGTGTGTTCTAAAATCATTTCCATCAATTAAAGTTTTAAAAACAACGTTGTGTTAGATTATATAAAGCAGACTCATTTTGATATTAACATATTGATGACGTGTTAAATTTTACTACATACCCTTAAACAATTATCAAATCATGCAACTGAAACATGTAGGTTTTTAAGCCATTGACCCCATTGCACTCCCCCACTAAAAAAAATCTTTAGTAATTTACTGCGCTGTGCCCTCATGCATGAAACACCTTGACTCACCCAGCGATCACGCTTTAGTTTTAATACTGCCTGTTCAGACCATTCCCTGTACACGTGTTAGACATACCCGAGAACGATACAGTATTTTTTTATGAGAGAGATAGAAACCTATTTCTGGATACTAACGATCAATGATCCAATTCATACCCTACACAATGCATGTGTGTAGATAGTTTCATTTCTGCAAAACTATATTAACAAAGATAAAGAGACAATTTGATGGAATAACAGGCATTCCTATACAATTTCTTGATATGAATGACTGAGTATTAGAACAATATACTAGTAGTAGAATAATGAACTTTAATGTTTTTTTTCTTTTTTTGTTAAGTAAATACTCAATGTAACAAATCAACGAAGGCGACTTGAAGTTAATCTGTTACGCAGTGTCTTCATAAGACACAATGATACCATGACATGACAACGAACCCCACAAACCCGATCTCATTTAAGAATAATAATTATAGGGTTTTTATGTGTTCTGTTACCGTGGCTAAATACCTCAATTGTTTGAGTCAGACCTATCATAACTACCTTCCAATCAATGACAAGAAATTGTGAATCTCAACGGGAAGCTCGAAATAATATGTATTATCATGGTAAATTTACATGACATTTTACATAATAATGCTCTATATTTGTCAGAGACGCAGAATCAGGAGATTGTCGTTCTGATATTACAGAAAAGAAAATAAGACAAGAGTGTACTTGTTACTCAGCTTCCTCTCTTACGTAGTTTTCCTATACTATTGTGTTTGTTTGCATGAATAGATTGCTTGATTGTGTTTTTCTGATGAAATATTTTTTTATTTAGCGCGACGACACGACAAAACGATCTACAGACTAATCCAGGATGTATGAATACCTTCTTAAATAGTGTGATGACTTGAACATAATAGAGAATCAAAGTAACTTGATTTGTTCGTGATGTCTTTATTGGTGTAAATACATTGTAGTTTTTGACATACAATTTAAGTATCATAATAGAAAGATAATCAAACGGTAACCAAAATAACACGAACTATGTGACTGCCTCTTCAACCATCTAGTATTTTATTGGCTCTTTCAAACGATGTTTTTCCATTTCATAGAAAAACAGATAAAAATAGTAATCGTTGTAGCTAAATGAAGAAGCATTGTTTGCGTGCTGTTGACAGGTGTATTGCTTGAAGCGACAATTACTCGTATTGTTGAAATGTGTGAGAGGACATCAAGGAAAGTGTGTCTATGATGAAGGAACATAATTAGTATTTGAATATAGCCGTGGGTGGACTGCAATCGTTATGTGTTTTTTGTGTTGCTGTTATCTTACAGTGGCTAAAGGCTGGCGTGAATATTTAAAATAATTATTCTTTGTTTGGAGAGACTTTGCCAGGTCCTTCAAATTTACTTTTAGATTAAGTTGGTTATGTTTTGTCTTTAGATAACCAAAGATTCCCTTCCCATGTCTATCGTATATACCCACCAGACTGGAAATCAAAGGCCCTACCCACTCTTCTACATCAGTTCTGACCTTTTTTTTTACAACGAAACCAGCAGAGAAAGCTTTGTACTAAGATGTATGATAAGCGTGATGATTTCTTTTTCCCTCTTGTAATTTTTCAATATCTGAACAGTAACAATCCTGCTTCCACAACTACGGTATTAATATGTGGTAGTTGATTCATCATCAATGACCTTGTTCCCAATATCACGATTTCCATTCAAAATGGAGACAACTGATGGATAAACTGACAACAAATAATCTTGGGAGATAAAGATTTATGATCTTTAGTATGTCTGTCGTACCGTTGTTGTTGACCTTGTTCTCATTTGGGAACATGACATTATTTTATATGAATTAACATGTAATTGTTTTTCTTGAACTCTTTTATGTGTCTCACTGTAAATCTTTCTGTGCGAGGAAATAAAATGTCTTTAGTCCTTATCATTTTTAGACAGTATAAAGGGACTACCAAATATCAGTCGGTAAAGCTTAGGACTAAACGATATTCGAATAAGACGACCCTTTTCAGGTCGGTAAGCACTTACGGTGCTGTAGTAGTTGTGCGAAATATCTGAGTGACATGCGACGCGTGTCCCATGTGTGTTTTGTGATCGAAGTTGTCCACAGCTACTACATTGAATTTGGTATTTATCATAAATGAAATATATATATATTGTGATTTTCCAATTGAACGTTAGGATTATCATTTGCTTTTTCACAATACAGAACAAATATACAACCAACATCAGTCTCGCTTGCCAACTCATCATTTGTACGATCAAGGGAAACCTCCTGAGATTGCGCCAATCGTTCACAACATCTTACATGAAGCCACGTGGATCGATAAAAATGTTATCTATGAAGTTGTATACTTTTTGTTTATAATTTTTAAATTCAATGCCAGAAATTTTATTTTATGAAGAATAAAAAATCTTTAGAACATAGCGTGATAGTAGTATAAAGAAGGATCAGATCACAATAGTAGATGTCCCAGAATCATTTAAACGTCCGACATATAAACTTCTATTATATATATGCCGGAATATTGGCTTACATATGACCCACTATTGGCCATTCAATGTTCATGAAATGTGGGTAAAAATCAGACACCGTAAAGTGCAGTGGAAACAATTAGTGCTGAAATATATACGACATCCAAAGGACTTTTAGCATCAGGTTTACACATTTCTCGTACACTTCTACAGTTGGGTAGCATACGGTTCGATAAGATAAGACCAGACAGAACCGAGAATGCAAAGTCCAGAAGAATAACAATATTATGTCAGCGTTTACATTGGCTATGTTATTGAAGCATTAATCCGACAGGTAATGTGATGCTTGTTAGTCTATCTGTGTATTTGAGAATATGAAATCACTTCTTTTGATGGATCACTATTTACATGGATTTACGGGTGTCGTCGATAAAAGCCAAAGATGCTAACTCTTCCGGAACACCTTGTCTTATCCTTGTACATTTTTAAGAGTTTCTTTGTAAATGGTTTTAGTTCATATTTTGCGACATTTTTATTGAATTTGAGTTTGGATAATGATCATGTTCACATGTTGGTATTTTCTTGTTTTTATAATTAATACCTCACTCAGCTATACCCAAGCGTAAACGCACGTGATCACTGGTGTAAAGGTCAAGATCAGTTCACAAGACACTGCCGTGTTATACTCAATCCTTTGCATTACGAACCTCTTTGCTGATCAATGTGTCCCAATACCTTAGTTAAAATCGACATGAATGTCATAACTCGCATGTAATGTTGCTGATTTTGTATAATAGATATATTTATATTCAATATATGTTACAGTATATTTAACTTTACGGTATCACTACAGCAAAACTACTGGCATGTCAACAGAATCTTAATGCAAATTCAAATCCGATGAGACCTGCGAAGATATTAACGAAAGAAAGATTCACACGAAGACTCCTGAAGGATAAGCGTCTAAAGCTTCGTCGACGACACACGCTATATCAATCTAGGTCAATCCAGGAAAGGTCCAGTACTTAAAACGAAATAACCAGATATACTAATGAGTATGAAGCAGGCCCAATTCCAATTCGCAAAGGACAATATAATATTCCCCAACGGGATCATTGTGACGACCCTAAAACTTCCCTATGATCTTCATCAGCCTACATCTCTTAAAACCCTGTTGTGAGTTTATCGTAATGGAGAAAAGCACGAGTATACCCAAATCAGCAGTGGCATTTGACCATGGGTTGCGGATGTAGGGAGTGTATAATATAAACCACATTTGTATCTAAATATATATTTGCATTGAGTTGTACTTTTCTCTTATGTGTCTTTTGAACAATCCTTAGTGATAATGGGCTTACAAAAAGCAAAGACGTTTTGGGTTGAGATAAAGTATATACTAACAGTTCAAAATCTGTAAGAGAAAAAAAATGAAAATAAAAACGAGTACTTCCAAACCAAGAAATATAACACAAACCCTCAAGGCTGGTAACGGGTTTTTCAATTTTTGTATTAAGGGTTTCAGACATTTCTTTTTCTTATCCCTATTTTCTAGCTTCTATTTTCCTTTCGATCTAAATCCATCTACGTATTCTATTGTGTTTTAGTAAGACGGTGTTAGATAGTTTGTCATTAAATTGTTTCTTGTTTGTGTTCGTGGCATATCTAAAGCTACAGCATTTAATGTCTCTAAATGGATAAGACTTGGGGTAGAATTCACAGAAGTGTAAATACATTACACATTTTCAATGTAACTACCAGCACAGACTTTGTAGTAAACAAGTAAACATAAAATGTCCACCCAGTCGTCAGAATCTCCAATTCAATCATCACGGTCACTGATGGCCAAAAATAGCCTAAGGTTAAACAATGACCGCAGATGTTCAGATATACCGTAGATGTCCATTCCGAGGCCTTCAAGTTTTTACGAGGAAATTCAGAAAATGATTGTTTGACAATGAAAGATCTGGAGAAAGTTATTTTTCATTTCATGCCTTATATAGAAAGGCGCACCAGTTTCTTGTGTGATAAATCCGCGAAAATATTAACATCGTAAAATGCAACTTATACAATACACGACAAAATGATGGACGATGTCTAGATATCAACTTCCCAATCTTCAAAATAATTCAAATGTTATTCAAATGAAATTTGGTACTTATGGGACCTAGAAAACTATACACAAGGACAATTGTCTCACAGACAATCAATGTTACAAAATGTTTTGTTCGACGTCTAGATATAACCATGGGAACTAGTTTTAGGCCTACTTGTTTGACGTCATTAGGATATCCAATTACATTGAAATTCGAATTTCTTTTCACTAACGTCTGACTTATTTCTCTACCTAGACATTCATAATAAATTTTGATAGTCTGCATTTATAATTTAAAAAATACCTGCCTTACGTTTTAGTGTGCAGTGATGCATTTTTTATGCTATAAATAAGATATTTAATATGTTCCAACCGAGGAAACACTCGACTTCGGAACTTCTATTACTCTGTATTTAGATTTAGGTTAACGGCAGATTTATCTAAAACTTCATATCGTGTTTTATATTTGTCAAAGCGAATAAGCTTAATACGGAAATGAAAAGATAATTGTAGGGTTCTGTGTCGAGGTATTCAAAGAATTTGGTTTACTGTTTTGAATATAATTCAGAAAGTAAACAAATAAATCTGTTTAGCTGACACCATAGGCAGTTTGTGATGTAGCAACCGTTTGACGTAACAAATGGCGTGTCAACGATATATATATATATATTTTATTTTGCAAATTACATTAATAAGACAGATTTTTAGAAGAGTAAGCGTTTTCTGCTTCATCAAGGATACCCGCTATGTTAATCATTTCGAGTAAGTACTGTCATGTTCTCATATTAGAAAAACAACTAAACACCAAAAGAACCATCGGGTATACTAACAGACATCAAACACGTCCACTTTCATATTGCACGAAAACAGAATATTTCTCGATGAGACAAGTATGATAATCGCAATACTTTGTGACTTATTTTGATCAACTCTTCGATAAATTCACCATCGGATGAAAACAAAGTCAGCCAACAGAGAGACATATTTTGGTAAAACAGGGATGCCAATATTCTGTTGGAAGATTTTACCACTTAACCAGGATTTCGATAATTTTTTTTCGCCTATCATATTTTCGAAAAACAAAAAACAGTTCATGGAAGTCATGAATTTGTGCGAAATACTCCACAGTTTTGTTTAAAACCTTATATATGTACTGCCGTTCACCTTTCTTGGAAACGAAATGTCTCATAACCAGAGAATGAATGAGTTCTTTTACTTATTACAGTTGAATGGTAATGTACAGCGTGGAAAAATCAAATTTTGTAAGAAAATAAATGTTTTTAAATAAGACAGTAACTGAGATTCGATAGCACTAAGGATGTTAGTAAACAATATAGGCTTTACATTGGAAATTATTCTTTTTTTAATGATGTATTGTTAACATTTCAATTGGAATGCTGATTTTTCATGGAGAGGAACAAGACACGACTTTTAGACGCCATTATATAAACATACACCAAACATCAAACTGACACGACGTTGGCATGGTCCAGAGTAAAGATATTGTTGATCATGACCACCTGTTCATTCAGATCAACAACCTTTCTGTTTTGCCTCTGATATTTACTGTCTTGGGGTTACCGTCGAATGTTTATTTTGCTGCTGTACTAGAGCTGTTACGGAAAGATCTTTAAGCTTAAGACTTGCATACTGCTGACCCTAAAGGTAGCCTAACTTGACCTGCGCTGACCCTGGAAGTTAATCATATATATTACGCGTCTTTGACATCAAACTGAAATTTCGTTTTACCGCAATGCAAATGCATGTGAAAACCACTGCCCATGTATGATGTTTATATTAGCAACCATGTGTCTTTAAAGTGAAATGGACTTTCACCTATTTTATAGTGATGCAGTGTGGATTTGCCTTGCTAGAGGCCGGATCTGTCCGAAGTAAGAATACTACCAATATTCTTATCAAAAATCTTCTCGACTCATGTAAGTATCTTCTTTACTAGTTTTCAATTCATTAATTCATTGATATTTTATATGTATTTCCATGCATAACGATGTTTCTCAAGCGAATGAAGTCACATCAAAATATATTGTTAGATAACATCGCAATAGATTTATGTTTGTCTTTAAGGAAGATATTGTTAAATTGTTTAAAATTGTGATATATTTTAACTTTTTAATTATAGTTATTTCTGGAATTTGCTATTGGCTGTTCGGATATGCATTTGCATTTGGAGGAGGAAATGCGTTTATTGGAACTGAGAACTTCGCGCACAGCAATCTTGAAGAAACAAATTATGCCTACTGGTTTTTCCATTTCGTGTTTGCTGCCACAGCCGCCACCATTGTTTCCGGAGCTGTTGCTGAGAGGTGTGACTTCGTTGCCTACCTTGTGTACAGTTCCGTCATAACAGGTACGCTGACCGACTGTGTAACACTCGTGATATATTATATTGTCTGATTATAATTACCAAATATTTATTGATATTGATCGACTATATACAACGTACCCCGCTTTATGCGGTTTTTACAGACTTTATATAATCTGTGTTATGTGATATAAACCGAGTTTATGTACCACGTGGTATGCGATTCATGTAGGTGATATATACCGCGTGTTATGTGACATTGACAGGCTACATGATATTATATTTTAAGGTTTCATATACCCCGTGTTATCCCACTGGGCGTGGTCGAGTGAAGGTTGGTTGTTGAAGGGCTTCACTTATACCGTTGACAACGAAACAACAATCGAGGTCTCTTACAACGTAAGTAGACACGCCCATCACCTCTGACATCTCTATGGGAATCGGAAGTATTTCTGCACATCTTATGTTTATTTCAAAGGTATGCTTTCGCACTCATCTAGTGCAAAGCATTTCCATCCTGTATTTGATCACCGCCAAATTTAAAATGGCAATGGTAAACTAAAAATCAATGAAAATATACATAATTCAAACATATTTATGTCTTTAATCACACATATCCAGCTCTTCATCATCCCCTATTTGATATATCCCATAACTGCACAATTTATGATACTTCTTTTTCCCTGTTGTGTACCTGGAAGTCTGATACATAATTGGAAGAATACGGGGAATGGCACTGGTTATGAAAGTCGATGGATTTAGTTTTGATTTTGATATAAAAAATTGATCATGCCAGTATTTAAATCATGAATAAAGTATAAAACGTCACAGCGGCATGATGATGACCTCTTATTGTAGAGTTTTATGACACACATCTATTTGTCTGGTAATTGTTTTATGTCCCTGTTGACAGGATTTTGCCGGAAGTGGGGTAGTGCACATGCTCGGTGGGATCGCAGCCTTCACTGGTGCTTGGATGATGGGCCCTAGGATAGGACGGTTCGATAAAGAAACCGGTATGCCACAGGACATTAAAGGTCATTCTGTTCCGGTACGTCAATCACAGTGGTCACTACAAATTGTTGATTTAGTAAAGACTGACAACCACAATATCTTTGACCCCAAAATACAAAGATCACTATTAAGATATTAGTTAATTGACTTCTACCACTATCGTATTTTTGTGTATAAATCAGTTTGATATTTTTACTATCGTCATTTCACACCACATAGGTAAAATGGCTACTGGCGTGTCCTGTGTTGTTGATATAATGATATTTGTAATCAACCATTGACAGTTTACTTGTTTTACAGATGAATAAAGTCTGGTTAATATGTTGACGTCACTAAAGATGTAAACACGAGTAATCATGAAATATTTTAATATTTGCTTTCCGATATTTGGAAATTGGAACAACCGGAAAACTTGTTCTTTTTTGTTTCTTTTCAACGTGCGTGGTTTTAGAGAATTCCTATGCATTAAGTGTTTGACATCGGGATAAGTTCTCGTTTGAAACTATAGATACATTTTCGTTTTAACCATATGAATCTGCTTTATAGAGAGTTTTCAATTTCCTGTGCTCCACGTGTCTTTTAGATCTTTATTGCACTTGCAGCGTTCTATATTTGTTTATTTTGATATTCTTTCCTGATTCTTTCAGGGCAATAACATCAACTTAAAGCTATCTATGTGTGGTTTATTTCATCGATATATTTGGATTCATTCAAAGTTTCACATTTACTTACAGCTGTCTGCGTTGGGTGGCTTTATCCTACTTTTCGGATTCTTCGCTTTTAATGGGTCTTCGCAAGGCGCCATCTCAAGTGAGGGCGATGGCGCGGCTGTCGCTATTGCTGTTAAGAATACCGTAATGGCCGGATCCTCGGGGGCAATTGTGACGCTTGTGATGAACAAACTGCCATATTTTGGGGACAGAAAGTGGAGCTTTCTCACAACCCTCAATGGAGCCCTGACTGGCATGGTATCTTAACAAGGGTCCATTTCTTCTCTGTACTTCATCAGTCACAACTGTTATTGTACAGTATTGTTATTAATTCAAATTTCTGCAATTGGAAAATAATGAATTCATTTATAAAATAATTAAATCATAATTTGGTTTAGAAACAAGTACAAATCATTCATTTTCTAAATTTCTATCTATTTTCATGAAAACTAAGATTGCAGTATATTAGATATCATGTTATATATTATGCCATTCTCTTATCCGACAGGTGGCCGTCTGTGGACCAGCAAACCAAATAGAAACATATGGAGCTTTGTGTGTGGGTGCTATAGGTGGCTTAGCGTACATGATTACCACGTGGTTGGTTCTCTTTAAGTTTAAAGTCGATGATCCGCTGGATGCAACTGCTGGTAAGTCCTGAAAATTAATACTTTATTATCGTAGTCCGGTTTAGCTGAAGTGGGTCAAATTTGAAGTGGTGTCACCATTCGTCAATATTAGCCACTATTCAGTTAAGGTTAAAACAAGAGCAAAAAACAAAGAAAATACCCCATGATAACAGATTCCTAGCTCAAACACAGAAAGATTTACACAGAGACCCTGGAAAGTACAATAAGAATAAATCCAGATGTTCAAGAAGGGTAAACGTCGTCTGCTTCATTGGCAACACCTATCATGTTAATCTTGAGCCGTCCAAGTAAGTAGTGTCATATCCCAAAATGAGAACAAGGTATACAACAACGAAACCGCGGAGTACACTACATGTTACGAGGATCAAACACGTCCAGCTTAACATCGCACAAAGAAATAGAATATTTCCCAATGAGATCAAAAAAGCTGATTTGCAGATGAACTAAAGAGTACAAGTTGCTGATCAACATGCTTTTGCATGTATTCGATAAAAAGTTAACTTTACTATTAAGACCACTTTGGGGACTGGACAAAAGCTTTCTTGATAGCGGGGTGTTCTAATAAACATTTATCTTTGTATATGGATATACAAAGATAAATGTTAATGGCTTCAATTGCTAAGAGATGATACTAAGCTAAACCCGAACTTGTTTTCTCTTATTATGTTTTCGAATTTGTGAAAATATCTTTTACGTTAAGATATTGATAATGGTGTCAAGTCCTCTTCTGTGAAATATATATATTTATTGGTTTTGTACGTGTTATCACCCAGACCAATGTTCTGTTGTGTTATATCCGTTCCTGGAAAGAAATTTTATCTTATGGTGTTGTTCGAAGAGGGACACAGATACCTGTAATATTGTATATTATAAAGAGTGTCCTGTTTTACTGTTCAAATGTTCACAACTTAACCCAAATCAAAAGAGTGTATCTTTGATAGTTGTCTTGACTGTTAATTTCTTTATAATTTGTATTCTTTTTCGCTCTTCTTTACTACGTTTTATTCTATCCTTGTAACTATTGAATAATACAATCACTTGATCTTACCATTTACATGTCTGAAACACCATTTTATGCTTAAATATCCAATGAGTTAACAGTAACACGTCGTATGATGAACGAATATACACGCGATAGCATCTGGGACAGCAATGTGTTTTTTTCCCCGCACAACCGTTGTTACAAGATAGTTTGAAATCAGTGAAATCAATTAAATTCAACCCAACGACACGTTATTTTATTATTATTATATTTTTTTCTTTTTTTAAAAAAAATGTATTCGTTGTATATTGTTATACGTTATTTCAGTTCATTTTGGTGGCGGCACTTGGGGAGTGATCTCTGTAGCATTCTTCTCCACCGATTTCGGTATCTTCTACAAAGGGGACACGAGCTCAGGACTAGTAAGTCACATTCACAGACGCCATAATGGCGATAATGTTTGGTTATGCTGTATCTATTCTAGTTTTGCACACTGACTTATTTCTGTATTAAAAGTTTAAAAACTGTAAAAATTGTGCTATTTATTGAAGGCAGTAATTTTAATTATACAGCGTCTCAGTTAATATGCGTGCTCTTATGTGACCGCATCAACCTTTTTTTAAGGTTATTGCACTGTTGGGTGGTAACCATGAAGAGATACTGATAAAAGGTATTTCCAATACACATTGAGAATAATGTTATACGTTTTTTTTTTTTTTTTACCTGTCGTTGATGTGAGTAATATAGGCTTACTATACGTGTTTTTTGTATTGGTAAGGACAATATTATTTATACTTTATCAATGCACTACAAGCAGATTAATGGACGGGCAAAAAGAACATACCAAACCGTAACATTGAAATTTGGTTTTGTCAATCTTTGCTTAATCTGATAATGCCTCTTTTTCCAGCATCTTGCCTGGCAGTTGGTAGGAATTCTTGCCATTATCGTGTGGGGTGGTGTCTTATCTTCAATAATGTTTTTCGTCCTGAAGAAATTAAAACTCTTGAGAGTATCATTTGAATACGAACTGAAAGGTAATGTTTTCACTGTCGATACTACTACTTGCGTTTCTGAATGATACCTCAAATATTCAAATCATGAAACCAAATTATTTGATACTACAACGCTCTGATATTTGCTAACCTAATCTTATGTCGTTAAATCATTTGGTACTGAAACAGAGAAGCCTTGTCAGGTCGCTATGATCGTTGAAATTTAATATATCTAACCGACAATCAATGTTTTCATGGAATGCATTAATAAAAATAGATATACAAAGAAAAGGATACATTAAAGTAGTTCAGAATGGCTTCATCGATTACTTCTGTAATGAATATCAATAATTGATACTGAAATCATCAAGCATTCCAACAAGATTTGTCTTCCTTTACACGTCAAAGTTTATGTGATTCGGTTATATAGAACAATATTATTTCATTAATTCGTTGTTATAGGAAACACTATAATGTATTCTTTTTCTCGACTTTCTAATGTCAGGTTTGGACATACCAAAACACGGCGAGCCTGCCTACCCTGTCGAATCCTACGGACACGGCTGGGGGGAGAAAGGAGATACGATAAAATCTATGATCAAGGATTCCACAGCTGTTTTCTCCAAAACTATCGAAGGTAAACAATACAATCCATCCTTTTACAAAAAAAAAGTTGTCCAAATTACAACTGCTTACCTTGACAAAAGGAAAGGGGCACATTAATGTGCAGTAGTAGAGTAGTACCAAGTAAATATCATATATATAGTTTTAAATAGTTCTTTTCGTTGACGTTTCAATTATCTTGACGTTATGGTCAATGATGAAGTCATTTTAACTTACACTATTATGATGTGTTATTTCCAAGGTTTTGAAAAAAATTAACGAATACTGTAGATAAAAAATAATTATTCTACTGCCTGCAGTAGAGGTTCTATCATATTGGGAAGTCATTACTAGTGAAATAAATGTATATGACAGGTTATAAAATGCATTATTGTGTTCAGGTGGTTCAACTAGAGATATCGTAGCATATGAAGTTCCATCTATTCCTGGGTCTTCTCAGCAGCGATTACTAATGAAATAAATGTATGCGCCAGGGTCTAAAATATACAATTGTGTTTACCTAGTTGCCCATCGTTACCTAATTTTTAAATTTTTTGCATTGTTTCATGTGTAAAACAGGCGAAAACGGAGGTAAGTTATGCAAAATATATAGCATTGTTTATTCAAAATTCTAACATGGTCAGTAGTCGTGTAAATATATGGATTGCCCTCTGCAATTTATAACAAAATTCACAGTTAGTTCATTTAGAGTTGCTTAAGAATGTATGAAACTCAGACGCCAATAATATCTTAAATTTGTCTTTTGTTCTGGTGATGATTAATCTGAAAGCCTAAATAGCAGACAGTAAAACAAGTGCTATGCAAATAATATTTCGCCGCAATTCTTTTACCGCTACATCATTCAGAATATGTGCTGTGAGCAATATTCATTTTCGATTATATGTCTTCATTTCTTCGTAAATAACAAGAATTCTTGGTGAGCTTCCAGCAAATTTCCTTTTCATTATTATGCAAAAACTTCTTATTTTGATTTTGAATGGACAACTGCAATCTTCAAAACAACAGAAAAATATGCATTTTGAAAAATTGGTTGCATTCTTTATTTAACAATGATCTGAAATTGTTTTTTTTTCAAGGCATTTGCTTTGATCGAAAAAAATGGAATTGTTATCATAATGGAAAAAGGGGGTCGCTGAACTTAATTTCTTTTGTAAATTTCACCAAAATGTCATTGTTTTCAAAATAAAAAAAAGAATGCAATATTTATATTTTATAACTTCAAATTTTTTATTGAATTCTGTCCAAATTGTACTCAAGAGAAGTGAAGTACCTTTCGCTCAAACATTATTTTTTTCATACATTCATAAGATACAATTAATACCTGTTTATTAGATATATATTATGCATACAGATATTCAGTCAATAATATAGGTGCCGGCACTATGAAATACTCGTTTAAAATGAGTATAGCTAGTTTTTAGCACCTTTCTTTTCAATCATATTTAAATAGTTTCATGGCAAAGTCAAAATGTAAATACTAATTATCTATTTACTAATTTTTATTTATATTATGTATTGATAACTCCAAATTGTGTCATAATGCAATACCAAACAGATGTTTTCTTCTTGACACGATTGTTGAACATGTCCTTTGCACATACGACATATGAATGATAAAGAAATATTCGAAAATTTATTTCACTTCTTATTCATTTGGTGACAAAACTGTTGATAATAATAAATACACAATTCATCCTAGTTTACAACGATTATCTTAGTCTCTTACATTTTTATTGATATGTTTTATATTACATACCCCTACAATAATTATTTGATTTTTATGCAAAATTCGAAGAATTTATTTTTTAAGATATATTTTCAGTATCACACAAGTTGAAAATTTTACAATTTTCTTAATTATCTCTTTATAGAATCGTCAGTTTTTTTCCTCGAATCGAATTTGAATATGTCTTTGTTTCATTCTCTCTAATTTTTGATTATGTAATTTGTATTCTATTTGTCTTTCACAGGTCTTCCCATGATGATGGATACTCAAACCAAACGTTCAGGTGACATAATGAGCATGGAATCAAGCAACTCACTGTCTTCAGTCCAGACAAACTCAACCCAATTATGATTTCTTAAGTGATTCTCATTTCCCTACGCCTTGCGATTTGTAGACTTAAAGTCCTTAAAGTAAGCAGCTTAAAAATAAATGCCTTTGGATAACCCAATTTTAGTATTGCTCCTTTGAACAGCCATTAACGTGCACCGCTTATCAATGAATGCCTTCAGAATAACCCAATTTAGTATTGTTCCTTTGAACAGTCCTTAAAATGAGCAGCGTATCAATGAATGCCTTGCCTTACGATAACTCAATTTTAGTATTGCTTCTTTGAAAAGATATATCCTTCTTAAGCTGACTAAAAAAAATTTCCATGCTTTCAATGTTGCATTCAAGTTGCAAACAATTTTGTTCGTAAATCCTCATCTTACCATGGACCTTAATTCTAACATTCTCATATATATGCAGTCATAAAGTCTGGAAACTGATTTTGATTTTGAAAGTAATCATTACTGTAGATATTTCACATTTAGGCATGTTTCCTTGATAGTTATTGTTTTCCATGTAAACGTTTATTAGGAAAATGCATAAATAAGGTGCAATGACTTGTGCTTCATCCCTTGTCTTAATGTTGACAATAAGTCTGTTTATATCATATCAATCAAATTTATAAGTGATGAACATATCTCATCGTTGTAGGTAATAAATCAATTCACCAAGGCGTTGTGTGGTAAACTCGAAAATTTTATTTACTTGGTTTCTGTCATCATCAATATTGTCACAACAACAAGACCAACTGTAAAAAATGGTCTTGCGAAATCAAAACAAAAAACGAACAAAAACAAAACAAAATACAAAAATAAAATTAAGAGCAAACAAAAAACCCAAACAAACACACAACAGCCAAAAGGACACAAAACAGAATTGGTATTGTATATCTAGCGAAATATGTGTGACAAACAACTATCAGGTTTGATATCAGTTAAGAAAGTATGGCGTTAGTTAAGAATGTTTGATGTCAGTTAAGATATATACGATATTATGATGAGGAGGTATCATAATTTGAATTGCTTCCCCTTAACGGAATAATGATCATGTGCCATCTCATAGTGAAGGATATTATCATTTCTACAACAAAATGTAACTGTGAAGGTTGTAGACCAATGAAGAAAACCCAACAGTCAACTAAAACGTTCCCCTGTTGAACAATCAGCGAAATTAGCGGGTATGACCTTTAAAATTCTCGGTCACCTGTCTATAGTATGCTTTTCAAAATATCATGTTTTTGTGGGCTTATAAAAAATAGGGGTCAAAACAGGGGTGGGGGGAGGAGGTATTGATATTGGCGGGGAAAATGTTTTCATGTTTCGTGCTAAAATAGGTATCCGGTATCAAGAACTGAGTTGGTTTACATTACTTGTAACAGATCTGTTTTCAAATTGCATAGCTTTGAAAAAGACCAAAACGACCTTTGATTAACCTTTAGATATCTCGCCGACAAAATGAGGAAATAATAATTTATACTTGGTAAAGGTGCTAACCCTATCTTACCCTGGGGGCTGATCTCCCCGCGAAGGTTATATGATGTATTTTCAGCTTTAATCAACGGTTGCTAGGTTATCACTGATCTGATATGGAAAAAAATGGTTAGATATTTTTCACAATTCATTAATTTTCTCAACATTTTAGCATGGACAACTGTATTGTCGGTTATTTTCGCGATTATGAAATTTTCGCTATTTCGCGGTACATGATCACGTATATATCTAATCTGTGAAATAATGTCACATGTTTGTAATAAATGTCAATTCATTATAATATCATTCGGTTATTTTGAAAGCCTATCGCGAAATTTTTGATATGTGAAAATGTCCACCTATACGGTAACAAATAATGTTTCAAAGCTATATCAATATTTTTTATCGTTATTATATCCTTAATATTGCAATCATTTATCATAATACCTTAGAATATTTGATGATTTAATCACAAGAAAAAATCTTGTGGAATTGAGAGAAAGGGAAGAGTGCACGATGTGAATATATGGAGAAAAGAATACCAAATAAATGATTATTTAAACATATTTCTATTCACGAAGATTTTTTCAAATAGGCATAATTATATTGTCAATTTCAAATACTGCATGTATTTACCTATTGTATTGTATATATTGTCTAAATATATATATTTTAGTACTTGTTGAGTATAATATTTTTATCATGATATATAGGTAAAATTACAATGGCTATTATGATTCCAGATATACGATGATTTGAATTATAATGTTGTATAAAAGTGGAAGGTTATTTTGTTTAATAAATGTGCTTATTTTGTAAAAACAAAGTGTTTTGTTACCTCAAAGAACATCCTTGAATAAAGTGCAATACAACATATTCGAAACAAAAGAATCTTTCATGTCTGGCAGTTCAGTATTTCTCATTTTGACACCAAGGACTATCATACTATAATACCTTTTTCATTAGCATTGATAAGGTAAATAGCCACACAGTTTACTCATTCATAAACATTAAGATGAATTTTCTTAATAATCGTTTGAAAACTATTTTACTGAATTCAGTTACTTCTTTTGAGGTTGTGAGAAAATTATGTGGAAATCAAGTATTGTGCTTGATGGAGTAACTACAAATATTGTTTTGTTAAGTAGGCGGTCGACTGTTGATTAATTTAATCGTCCCATTTAAATATTCCAAATTACGATCCTTGCGGCAGATTATTAGGATTTGACTGGCAGACAGATTATTTGCTGTGTTGCATTTCAGCAAGGATAATCCTTAGGTTGATGAATTACATTCTCATGCACGACCGCCTGCTTATTGTTGTATGTAAACATTATGAAATGTAAACTGATTAATCTATCCCTTATCCCAATAGGAACATCGATTATCATTTATTTGAATATTTCAGAGTATTGGACATAAGGTCAACGTTTTCAATTTAATATTGAAAATTATGAAAAAATGATAGCATTCTAGGATTTAACGCATCTCGCCATTTAGGATTTGACATTCACTTCGGTCGATTTGTTTTTCCCTGCTACATCAAATGTTTCAATCATTCAGGCCCTCATATCCAAGCTACGTCAAACAGTTGTATGAACAAAGGCCCACGAAGAGTAGTGTTATAAGCAAAGACAAACAAGTGTTACCTTATTGAACATGATAGCATTACGTGTTAAGTTTTTGTGTCGTTAACATCCATGTCGTTAAGCAACTTAACACGACCATCCTTTTTTCTGTTCATAAACTGACAGCGACACCTGCTAAACTGACAGCGACACCTGCAGACAGTATATTGTTCGCAGGGATTAATTTCGAGATATTGTATTACAGGTACGCAGAGTGACTCCACATATTTGCTACTGATATAACTTTACAAATTCAAGAAAACAAAAAACATAGAATAGAGCATTTGCGCGAAAATGCCATCTTTAACTTTATGTCTGTTTTAAATGCTAAGAATTACCCTTAAAACATTGCATTTACCAATTCCAAGCTTAACAGCCTGTTTCTTGTTTCCTTTGTAAATGATACTTTCTTTTATTTTTCACACTTAAAGGTAAAATATAGGTAATTTGATAATAATAGTAAATGAAAGAATTAATAGTTTAATAGGTCAGTTCGGTTAGGGTTGCAACCTTTTTCTTCAACCGATGAAACAGTTAAGGGTTAGACTTAATTGAACAGGTCTAGGTTGATTTCCGGCAGAATATCTTATTTGAATACCAAGACGATTTCAATTTTTATTCTTTTCAATTACACATTGCTAATTGTAGTTTGTTCTAATAATTTAAATAAATATATTACTTTATTTCAATATGTTAAGAAAAATACTATACTTTTAGAAATCTTATCATAATTTGAAATAAATGATATTCGTATTAACATTTCGATGCAGTTTTTCAATCTCATAAACTAGAACTTTAAAAGGGATAAGTGAAAACAAACGTGTTCAGGACTTAGCTAACTTCAAACATAACATTCAAACAATATACCGCGAAAGGGGAGTAAACCTTGTAAATTGATTTTGTGCTCATTAGCAGATGCATAAAAAGATCCATTGCTACAATATGTATATCATGATGATGTCTCGTTGATAACAGTGGCTGGTGATGTGTCGCTTGCGTTTTTATTCCTTTATGTAAGCTTCTATTTCTTGTTATAAGCTCTACCAAGATAAATGAAATCTTAAGTACAAAGAACAGAATATAGTGTATTTCCCGCAAAACTTAAGCTGTCCCGGTTGTCCGCGTATAAACATTGGCTTTAATGGAAAAGTGGTCATTTTTTGAGGATCCCAACTTAATAAAAATGAAATCGTGGTATTTTACATAACTGAGTTAGAGGGATGCATTGATCACTGCATCCAAGCTAGTTTCGATTATCACTTTTTTCAATTTACTATGGAGCTCTTATTCAATCGACACAGACAATGTTAAAAAATATTCGATAATGCATTAACCCCTTGAAGGGCTTTGAAGGACGAAAGAGGTGTATAGTGCAATCATTGTTTGGCTCTACTGCATCTAACTCTAAAATTGTATTAAAAGTGCTATTTACCTTCAGCAATATAAACAATAAATGTTTCGATGCTATCCGCTTCACATTAGCATATTATAACATAAGAAATAAAAACAAAAATAAATAAATTGGTCAGGAAAGAAAATTCACTACACCAGGTGGAACTTTTGGTTTATTTATTGAGGTAGTTATTTAGTTTACTTATTTCCATGTTGGTATTTGACGTTTGTTAGTTATCTGTTGGTTCCGTTGTTGTATACCTTGTTCTCATATGAGAACGTGCCAGTACTTACTTGGATCAATCAAGGTTTACATGGCGGATGTTGTCGATGACGCAGAGGACCCTCACTTTTTCGGAACACCTGGTCTTGTGTTTTATCAGGAGTCTCTGTGTAAATCTTTCTTTTGCTCATACTTTTATGGAATTCAATTGGAATTATATGATTACATTTCCATATTGGTATTTTCTTGATTTTTTTTTACCGAAGAAAGTTATGGTTGCACGCCGTTGAGTCATTTGCCACGTCAGGTACGGGAGGAGCCTGCTTTGTTGAATATAACATTGACAATTTTACTGATGGTGTGTCATACGAAGGTCGGACAATTCTTCTGATGGCGTGTCATTCGAAGGTAGGACAATTCTACTGATGGTGTGTCAAATGAAACGTGGATAATTCTACTTTTGGTATGACATTTGAATTAAAACCTATATCCAACGACACAGAGATATGTATATCATATCATTATCGTTAACACCAGGGATCATGAATAATCCCTAAGACAATATTTGTGAGTGCCAGTCGGTATCATCTGGTAGACATGATTTGTATGTAGTTGTTTTGTGTATATATACACAAACGACTCTATCCATCAAACGAGATCAACATTACCGGAAATCTTCTCCAAGAAAAAAAATACAATCTCGTTGTCTTGTACGGAAAACATTTGGCACATTAAAATCATCTTTATTACCCTGCGGCTATTACACTGTAATCATTTCGGACGATTAATGCACTAACGTTGTCGCGGATCACCAATCTGCACTGCTCCTACTACTAATAAGCCGACCATAGAGAAAGAATAGTCTCAGTGTGGACTGTTGAAATATGAACATCGCTTTGATACACCGCCAACTAGGGAGCATCACTTATGACGCAGAATGACGTTGACAAGCAAATAAAACACCACATCACCTCGATTTCTTTCCAGATCTAAATTGTGACTTCTAAAGCTAGATTCGGGATTCCGTAATTTCAATATCTCAATTTGAACAAACTGATATATTGATAACTATAAACATGGATTACTTCCGAGTTGTGTCTGGTGGATGTCGACTGATGGTGATAGTGTTTATTGTGCTGACATTGTACCAACCGTATTGTCAAGGTAAGGTAACCCCACAATAATTTAACTAGAATATTCCGGCAGTCTGAATAACCAGATTTCTAAGAAACATGAAGATTTAATTATCTTCTTTGTGAAATCATTGAAATTTTAATTTTTTTTCCCGGTTTCGCTGTCAGCTGTGTCGTGACGGATATCATATTTTGGTGCTTGAACGATTTTTGTAACAGAGAAATTGACTTGTTTTCGATGCATGTTTTCGCTTTATTGCTATAATTGAACCATCAGTTCCTACTACTGTAGTCTTATTGACTTCAGGTCGGAGTTTGCATGTTTTGAGTATTTTCTGTAATAAACAAGTGCCTCTCGCTTATATTGTTTCCTTTAAGTTCTCCTTCGTATTCTCCCTTCACCTTGTTTATTAGTCAATTTAATTGTTTTCAGTTTTACTTGTTTTTTTATGAAATCTGAATTGAGTACAATTTAGTGTCAGGCGTCTAAATATTCTGTATACATATTTATTATTTCAGTTTTGATTATGTCTTTTAGATGGTTTTAAGAGGAAGGAGTTCATATCAGCAGTAATTTTACACCGTGATGTTATTGAATGACTAAGCTTCGTTTAATTAAATAATTAATGACTAAAGAGTAATGCGCAAACAGTGTAGATACTAAAGGTCTTCGTCTTCAAAACAATTGATCCAAGTAATTGTAAGTTTTCAATCTGTATTTTAACAGATTTGTTTTATAAGAGGCAGTTCATGGGCGGTTTGATAACATCTATTAAACATTGTCATTTGAACATGTTTCTGATTTGTCTTGTGACATAAAATAAAATAATAAATATCGCAATCTTTATTGATTTGATATAACTTCAAATATCCACCCGGATAATTACTATATAATTTGATTCGAGAGAACAGTCATTCAGGACCCAGATGCTCGACACATGGTTAGAGTGAATAGATGGTTAGTGAAAAATTCAGATTAGTAGAAAACAAATATTTTTCAACATTTTACAGTATTAGATTCGTTGAGATAGGTAAAATGTCTCAACACTTATTAACTCTAATCAACCTTTTAGCAATTGGGGCCTGGGCACCCACATCCAGAAAGTTTTGAAAAATATAATAATACTGATAGATGACAATTACTACAAAAAACAATGAGCCTTTATCGGTGATATACGCAACAGTAATGATCATTTTATGGGAAGAAAACAATGTAAAGATCACGATGTCTAAGCGCTGCGAAGCAAGGAGAAACGCATGACCAGTTAACGAAATAAGTGCCCATCAAATAGGCAAACAATACCATAATTGTGATGAGTAGCGACACGTATTATGGAAAAATTATTGATATACAACCACAAATTTAGATATAGATATGTGATCAGTTACTTGTCATATTAATGTTTGTTTTTGTCACAGATGAAACTAATATTATTTTTCTTTTCGGTTTTTAATTGAACTTCACAGAAGAAATCGATGGTCCACTAATTCGACAGTTGCCAAATATTTATTACATGCCCTAAAGTATCTTGCATCTCATTGGTTGAGAATAGATGTGAGATGTAGATCTTTTGATTACGGTATTGCTGGGTGATTGCTATATATATATTGTCTATGACCTGTTCGAGAGTAAAATTGACAACTATTCGCTTTGATACCATACGACACATAGACGAGATGGCGACAGTCAGCTTGGTCGCTGTCGACAAGTTGGATGTGTTAAACACAACACTCGGGATAATAGATAAGCAATACATTTATGAGAGACCTATGTTGTATATCAATGTCCGAAAATATAGATAACCGAAGCAAATATACAGCACAGCCCACTCATCAGCTTAATATCAGACAGGATATATATATATATACCACTACAGTGATTTATTAAAACTGTCCTTCGTTCATCGATATACATATGTATATATTTACATACCATGATGATAGAGATTGCACCAAAGCACACAAATGTACAGCACCTTTTAATATTTTAGAGTTAGATACTTTAGAGCAAAACAAACAATTAAATTGCATTATACCAATCCTTCGATGACTCGTCAGTGATACTAAATGCCTAAATTTTAAAGCCTAGTAGGCGATGAAGAAAATCAAAAGTGATCGAAAAAAAACAATCAAATATAAAAATTATGTCTTTATTCATATAAATAATCTGCACAAGTAATACCTATTATAAACATGATTCAAAATATATTTTGATTATAGAACTTTATTTAATCAGAAATAAAAAGTTAATGATGTCATGTCATGACATATTTGATAGAATTATTTATTTTATTTTATTCCTGGTTTCATTTGTATTGGCATGTTTATAAAGATATCAAATTCCACAGTTCAAACTAATACACAATTTTAATGTTGTCTTGACTAAAGACTTTACTGTAACTTGACAGCTTACATGGACACGTTGTCTGTAGGCGAAATGTAACACCGCCGCTCATTGGTTAAAACTAATTCTCATGATGACACGTCATGCAGAACACAGTCACTTCCATGTTTAGTCGTTGTTAATGTCAACTTTGATTACCTATATGACAGTGGTTTCGTGTTTCCTGTCAATGATGTGCCTTTCAAATATTTGACGTTGTATGTGTATCGCAATAGTGTATTTTCTTTTTGTCCTGAAAGCGGATGATGACAAGCTTAGAAGCAGGGCAATGAAAAAACAGAAATCATACAGTAGTTTCATTCATGCGAAGAACACAAATAAGATGGCGTTGTTAAAAATGCATAAAACAATACTCAGTATTACACTGGCTTTGCATTATAAAGCTGTTATATAAAACGTAAAAAATGATTTCTATAATGACTATAAGAAGTCAACTGTCAACATCATAGAAACAAGACTATATATATATGTTTTCATTATTGAATGGATATAATATCGGGTAATGTGAAATAATCGATTTTCGTTATTATTCAGTGAAGCCGGAAACGTATTTATCTGATTTATTGAAGGTAAAAATGTTCGCACACCAATCCATCATTTGAAAAAAACGTAAGACCTTGTGTTCCTACATGTCGTCAAGACCTTGAACAAGTCCTCAGAAAATGTAATTTCATGAAAATTTGTAAATGCTGTGTATATTGAGTGTATCGACAGTGAGTGAATCAATATTAAAGTACAATAATAAATCTGATCAATAGCGATGATGCAATCATCACAACCACAATTGTTTACTATTTTAATGTTATACAATCTTAGTCCGTATTGAATTTTTTAGATCCAGTCCTGGACATAAACATCAAATTTAATGTTGATATTTAGAACATCTTGAAAAGGAAAATTCTGTTTAATGTGTATATTATATTATGCAATCAAAAGTCTAAATATGCATAAAAAACTTCACCAGTTTTTGTTTTTGTTTTTGTAGGTATAACTCCCGGCAGAGCCTCTGTTTCCTCAAAAAGCAGAATTCGAAAAGTTATTTCCAGTGTCAAACCTGTCACGAAAGGAAACGCCTCTTCACACAAAGTCAAACGACCGACGGAAACTAGTACAATCCATCGAACAAGAATTGTTCCGTCCAAGCGTATCACTTCCTGTCTGAAGTTACAATGTCCGGTTGCCACGCCTAAGTCGTGTCGTTACCTCACTATTGTTCTTTTAAGAGGCGGTAAACGGTGTCATAAATGCTCAATTAAGCGATCAAAGCGATGTCATGTTGCCAAACCAACTAAAAAGGTCATCCCAAGAAAAGTAAAGACCACCTCAAAACCGTCTCGAAATACTGCGGGAAAATCAAGGAAACCTTCTGCTCGCATAAAAGACGCCGTCATTAGGACAAGGACAAGAGCAAAGCTGAACAATTTCGAAGGTCGTTGGATGAAAGGATTTTCTAGTGATTGAAGCCGATCATGAATATTAGCAATCTTTTCTCTGGACTAAATTTTATTACAAAGTTTGCTACTTCCATATGTGATATTTGTTTTAATAAAAATCAGCATGTTTATTATCATATAACATTTACAGGTGTAGCAACCTTTGTAATTTAATATCTTTCCGTGCAGATTGCGTATAATTATTAGTCGTTGATCAGCTTATATTTATGATATTATAATGGTTTAGAACTAAACCACCTGAAGATATTAAAATACACGTGTTGTTGATTATATTATTTATTTGATGAAAGAAAAATAAACTGATATGTATCTATTATTATATCGTCTCTTATGCCAATCATTCAACCATGACTATTATTAGTCTAAGGTATATCAGTACCATTGTAATGAACGTACATTAGGCTGATATTAATTGTTACAAATGTTACATAGATAAGATAAAATCAAAACATATCATCGCTCATACTAAAACAAAATCTTCATCTTTAATTTTGTCACCGTGTTGTTGAACTTACGAGGAAGCAAGGAGACCAGGTTTGAGTAGGTAACAGTGATGAATCGTCGTCTAAATCTCTAATTATTCCAAGTTACACTTCTTACCCTATTTTTTATGATATACGTTCTTAATTTTTCTATATTGTCATAATTTGCGGCAGTGCTTTTTTTCTGTCTGATTCTTTCCTTCGAAAAAGTATAACGCAACAGTGTACATATGTTTATCCAATTACTGTATATATAAATGGCATGCCCTATTTCTGTACTTATATGTAGTTGTATAAAAACACTTCAGTCAAATTAATCACTTATCCATTACTTAGCAGTGAGTACCTTTGATAAATGTTTGATTCTAAAGATATAATTATTCTGTACCTATCTATTTTAAGCCATTATTTGACTGATTATTTAGTTGATATATATTATCATATGTTAACATTACCTAATTATTTTATATCAAAGTGCATTAATATAGTTTTATTCGTTTTCAAATCTACGTTTATGGTTCAATGCACTCATGAACTTAGATTGCAAGTGTTATTCTTTAGACTATGGTAGCATATGTTTTTTCGGCTCTCTCTCTCTCTCTCTCTCTCTCTCTCTCTCTCTCTCTCTCTCTCTCTCTCTCTCTCTCTCTCTCTCTCTCTCGTTTTCCACATATTTTAACTATAGCGTATAAGTATGTGGAGGTTTAGGTATATACGTAAATGTATAAATAGTAGTAAGGATTGGGGGGAGGAGGGGGGGATGTTTACATAAATGTGGTTTATTTTGACATTCGGTCCCACACCTCTAATACACAAGACAGTTAGTAGTTTAGTTATTGGTTCACGCTGAAAACGACATTGATATCAGTCACTCCCTTCATACTACCTCCGGTATGTATTCTTGCCGTGCCTCAAGGCAAAATCTCCATACGATATTGATTGCTTTTAGTGGAATCCGTGACAGTTATTTTTGTGGTCATCGTGAAAACAATCACCACCTGTATTGTACGTCAAGTCTTCAATGTTTACTGTGTAACTTATTAATGAATGAAACAATTGTTGCAGGATATCAATCGACACTAGAATCAGAATCGTTTAGTTTATATGTATACCTTACTTAGTCTTACGTTAACGCGAAGATGTACATTGTATGTTATACTGACAATGCAAAAGTGATTTGAGAATGCCACGGTTTTTCTTTTTTTCCAATGATACAGACTATCAGATGAAAAAAAATCATCTTTATTATCCAGATATATTTTGTACACCGGATATTCAGTTCAAATGACAAGTTTAATCGAAAATACTATATCAAACGACATGCATTAGACACCTTTTAATTATAACGTCGGAATCCGAGGAATGAGATTAAATCATTTTTAATATCTATAAAAATAGCTTAATGTTCCCAAAAGAACAATGTACCTGGTACTGAAAAACTACATTTTCAGTGTTAAACAATAATCTATCGATTAGTATGAACAAAATTTATTACTACACACTTTTCGTTTTGAAAATGGATCATGTAGTGGTGTTAACTAATTTATTAATCATGTTTAAGAATTTTCATTAAATTCTTGCCCATGATGTTATTGGTAGTGTTTTTCTTTTGTACTGAACTATTTGAAATACACCAATGTTGCATTTGGATGCCTACTTTAAAAAAAACCCGCTAAGAAACTTATTAGTTTTGTTTTCGCAAATTCTCATTTTGTTTATCAAAATTAACTGTATGTTTATTCTAAGGCAAATTGGATTTCTCAGAATACCTTTTGAAAGATAAATCTTATTGAAAACACATTTATTTCGTTTCATATATATTCTTGATCAATATTCCTTCATCACAAAACAGCATTATTTATTCAGTTCTGAAATTTTAAAATATATCTTAACTACCCCAATTTTTTGCGTTATATTACTCTTTGTTTCTGCAGAAGTTAAATGTTCTAATGAGAATTCATGTCGAGAAAAGGCCTCTAGAATCGATCATAAGCCATTGTGCGTGTTACTATCTGTCACCTCTTTACAATACTGGAAATATACCTTAATAAGATCGCATGATCAATTTTAGAATATAATCGAATGTAACAGGAGGAACTGATGAGGTTATTAGTAGAGTATGTAGTATGTAATAGAATGAGATATCCATCCTCAGGAAATATTTTAATGTGTAACAGTCAGCAATTCTGGTGCTCGTACAGAAGTCAATCTAACCTTCGAGACGATATTGGTCAGTTTTTGGAAACAAAAATTATTTTAATGTTTAAAAAAATACATAGATTAAATAGTTTATAAAATTTTGTAAAAAGTATAGAAACCAGTACTGATTTCCTATTTGTTCTATATGAGGCAAAGTCATATTGCTCAGGTTGTTCATTTCATAGCATTGTTCGCTAAATTTTGGACGTACTCCATTTAGTTTTGTCTAGAAACCACTGGAATTGTTATCACGTCCCAGTTATTGTCTTCTAGCCAACTGACGCAGCCTGGCCAGTAAGTGACCAGAGAAACAAATGATAATAACATTGTTGGCTTCTATATAACGACACAGATACCCTAAGGCAGTTGCAATACTTATTGTCTAATTGATTTAGGAAGTAGTTATCCAATATTGTAAATTTGAAATACGCCATGGATCCACACACCAAAGAAATGGCCGGAACTGTGTGGGTTTTTATGCTGTTGCTGATATCTGGTTACATCACAGGTAAAAATAAGATTTTCATACTTTTAACAAATATGGTCTATGGTGTACATCTAGAGTGGTTTTGAATGAAGTACATATGGTTTTTAAATGTTTCATCACATCTTTGATGATAGATCATATTTAAGCGAGTAAAATTACATGTTTATTCCAATACACGCAACTAGTTTTAAATCCTAACATTGGCATTATATATCAACAAATGTTTCGTTGGGCATCGAATCGGGCATTAATGAAGCACTTATAAAAGAGATTCTCAAAATCAAGTCAAAATTGCTTATACTCTAAGACTTCTACCCATGCGTGAGTGGGTTAGTTGAGATCAAAACAATATTTACCAGTACGACTGTAAAACGATAATGATTAAGGTCTAAAAGATTAAGGTTAAAAGATTGACGGGTTTGGCCGCATAAATAGATCCCAATATAATTGATACTGGATAATAAATAATTAGTTTGGTTTGCAGCCAAATAAATAGTTACCACCAAAATTGTGACAGGATGATAAATATTCGGTTTGGGTATGACCGCATACATTTTTACCGCTATAACTGATTTGATACGAAGTAATTAGTTTAGTTAAGAGGACAAAGTTTCCGAGAAATTGTGCCTGAAGAATAGGTCACCGGTTTGAATGTATATTTTTTTAAAAATATGTTTTGGTATGTGGTAATTGGTTCGTGTAAACTGGATTATTAACAATAACCAGTTAAACGCTAACTGAACAGTTTGACCTGACTTGGATTGGTTAACGGGATTAGTGGTAGTTGTTAAGTGGTGACTGGATTAACGGTTTTGGTGGTGAATCGGTTATTGATAACCGGTTTATTGGTAACCACACTAATGGTGACTGGATTAACGGGTTTGGTGGTAACTCGGTTACTGATAACCCGTTTATTGGTAACCACACTAATGGTGACTGGATAAGTGGTAGCTGTTAAGTGTTGACTGGATTAACAGGTTTGGTGGTAACTCGGTTATTGATAACCGGTTTATTGGTAACCACACTAATGGTGACTGGATAAGTGGTTATCGATTAAGCATTGACTGGATTAACGGGATTGGTGGTAACTCGGTTATTGATAACCGGTTTATTGGTAACCACACTAATGGTGACTGGATAAGTGGTTATCGATTAAGCATTGACTGGATTAACGGGATTGGTGGTAACTCGGTTACTGATAACCCGTTTATTGGTAACCACACTAATGATGACTGGATAAGTGGTTATCGATTAAGCATTGACTGGATTAGATATGATTTGTTCATTTATAGGTTATGACTAATGAAACATTATTTTGACTTTGATACATTAATCTGACTATTTAATGATAACTGGATTAATTAGTGAAAATTGCTTCAATAATGTTCGCATTAATTATTTTAAAAATGTTATTAGATATTACCATGCCTGTTATGAAGTTACAAAACATTTGCTGCTTTGAAATACTACAAATTGAATAGAATAATACTCTTTGCTCCATTGTATTTTGTTATCTCTGTGGTATAGTTGTTGATATTAAACCTCGCTCTATTGATGACGATAATGATATATGTGCTATTATAGATACAATGTGTGTTGATCTGATGCCAAAACCGAAGGACTGCAAGAACAATTTCAGCGAAAAGAAATGCGCAAGAATTCTTAAAAACAGATATAAAGATAATATTTACGACATGTGTTTCGGATACAAGACTGTGGATGAATGTTGCGCATTTTGCCTCAACAAACTCACTTGTGACAATAGTAACCCCTACAACAACGATATCATAGGTAAGAATAAATGGGTTTTTTTTCGTTGAATTTAAACCCTAACGTTGTTAAGTCCATGTTTTAAACAATAGCTATCAATGTTACTACTGAATGAAGTCATTTCATTTTTTTAAACTTGCATAAAAAAATCATTTATCCATCTAATGAAGAAGTGAAAATTTGATGAAAACTGGCCATGTCTTTGCGTGAATTGATCAGTACATATTAGATGGTTTGATGGTTATTGATGCAAGAAAATTGTCAAAGAACAAATGCCACATGCTGTTCTATCATTGCCCGAAATTGGCGTGGTCTATTTTTTTCTGTACCATGACAGCTTGTGATATTTCATATTATCATTTAGAACAAGAACTCCGATGAGTATTATGTTCAGAACGTATTTATTTTTCAGATATGGCTACAAAGTTTATGTACTTGACGGTTGATTGTAAGGACACAATGAAGTACTCGCAATGTATGGATATTCGTGATAAGGCATATGGCAAAAACACTAAGGCTATGTGTAAAGATGAAAAGTACGCGGGAATGTGCTGCAGGTTCTGCAAATATGGAATGGGAAAAGATTGGAGCAGTCTCGTCATGGATGAATGGAGTGGGTATATAGCCTCAGAAAGAACGATTGCTTTAAATTCATTTTCTTACCTTACGGTTTGTGCAATATTGAGATAAGTAAACATTCGCCGAGTCTTTTACTGAATTGGACCCATGTCAGTTCAACGGAAAATTGGACTTGAGCATAACCAAATGGGTTATAAACTTCACACCGACTTTTATTGTTGCACTTTATATTGATATTTTGAAACTGTGTTTTATTTTTATGTTGAAGATTAAAATAGATTAAAAATGTAGAAATGATATACATATATATATTGATGAATGTGAGACATGCGATTTATACGAATTAAAGAAACACTAATTTAATTACTAAAGATACACAAAACACGTGTTAGTTAAAGATTGATAGTACAATAAGTCGAATACAAACATATACACATACTGATAGTAGAAGTGTCACATAGAAACGATATATCTGTAATAATTGTTCATAGTCTTTTGTCTATGCACTTTCAGTGAAACATCCTTACAAGAAAATGCAAAATATCCTTGACAACTTTGGGGGTGAGTATGTTGACGAAAATGGCATTTTACGAAGTGTCTTAGATTAATTGCAGTATCTTGTTTATATATACACTGAAAGGCATTGTATTATGTGTAAGTTCAAAATCTCTGCAACAAGTCAGTTTCATCAGTTCATTGTATTGTTGTAAGTCATCTCTCCCGAAAAATAATTCATCCCAATGATTTCTTGCGTTAGTACAATTGTGTTAGAAATTCATCTCCATTTTCAGGCTACGGCCAAGGCGATCAAGATGATGACAAATTTTATGATTCTATATACAATTTTCTGGATGGCTTTGATAACAACGACGGAAAACGAGGAAAAGAGGACGGTGATTTTGGCGATTTCATAAACAATATTATAAAAGGTAACGATGGTTACGGAGATAAGAAAGATAAAAACGATTACCTTCGAATGAAATCTGCACCATTCAGTTTGACGAAAGCTGGAAACATGGCCGAATCTCACCTTCGTAAGAGGCGTGACGCCGAAAGTGAAAATATGTGTGAGGACAGAATTGGCGCAGACAATTGCCGACGAATGATGATGAGGAGTCCATATTACAAACATGGTGGAATGCCCCACATTTTCTGTTCTAACCCACATAATGTGATTTCTTGTTGTCGGTTCTGTGCCTCTGCTTCAGCGAACAGAGTAGACAATCGGAAACGGAGAGACCTTGGTAAATATGTTGAATTTTCCATAGATAACTATTAGTAAAACACTGATATTGTTGACGTTTCTTAGTTTCCTCGTGTTTAGGTGGACAAAGTTGTCCATATTACTCTGAAATTAATATTTTAAATCATTTAGTCAGTGTTTATATCTTCAACATATCTTCCGTCTATCCATTTTTTATATTCTGATAATTTGCCATAGATAATGGCTTGATTTTTTTCCCGCGTCATTTGTTATAAAACAGGAAATATCTCATCATATTACTTATGCATTACGCGTTTAGGTGTTTAATTTGGCTGTCGAATTATAGCTTGTATGATGTAACGTGTGGTTTTGTCGTCATTATAAACAGATATTATGTTGTCATATTCTTTATTTCAAAAATATTCATTTGAAACATTATGAATGAGGGATTGTTGTAAGCTTATATAAATATCTTTCTGTAGGCCCTTAGCATCACTGACGACTCCTAGAAGGACGAAACAGCTGTATGATGCAGTTTGATTTAGTGTTTGGCTGTACTGCATCCCACTCTGAATTATAAAACAAGTGTTATTCACTTGTGTATCTTTTGTACAATATTCATACTCTTTACTTACATCATCACAGGTTATTAGTGAAATCATGTGCTAGTGTCAATAACTTATATTTCGCGAAAACTTTATTTCGCGATCATACCTCATCAAACATATTCGCGAATTCACAATTTCGCGATCGCTGATAAAGAAATTGCTTTACATTTGCGAATGATGAGCTATTAGAGAACTGGATTGTGAAAGACGCCGATATCAGTAACGGTAACAAAATGGATGCTAGAGTTAATTTCAAAGAAATGATTACGAGTGACGTGAATTAGTGATCGACTCTTTCCGCGAAAATAAATCCCATTGGTAATATAAGTGATTTACAGTTATGAAAATACGTTAAGTTTTATATAAAATTAACTGGTTAATGTTATTTTTATTCATATCTATTTTTGACGTCACCAGCGTTCCTGGGTAAAGGTGAGTACCCCAAGGAGGGCACAGAAGAGACATGTGACGGAGACAGATTATCTCCGAACAGATGTCGACAAATTGTCTACTCAATGTTCAAAGGCAGTAAAAAGGATATGTGTACCTCGATTCACTTCGGAAACGTCTGCTGTGATACATGCAGAAAATTCTTGAAATGATAGGATGGCAAAGTAAGTAAACGCAACTATTGGAAAATCTATACCGTAATTCATGAATGAAAGATATTTTGGCACAAAATGTATTCTGTCAGTGTAAAAATACCAATGGTTTAATAGAATATTTGTTAAGAAGAAAGAGAGCTTGACGATTTTAATAAACTTATTTGAAATAGTTTTTGAAGAACTCAATTTCTTTCCTTTTAATTAACATTCCAGCTTTATTATAATAAAATGTCTCTATATATTTCAGTTTACCTTCCTCCTTCGACATCCGATACAGACTGGCGGATTCAAAACTAAGACGGAGTGAACTAGTTCGGAAATAAAACGCACTGCATCGCAGGTTTAGCTTGTCTCTGTGTTACATTTCTAACTTAGATAATTGCTCTGACAGACTACAAGGTAGTGGCCGACTGTCGTAAATCTAACCGTATGGCAACTTGAGAAATTCAACATAGCTTTATACTCTGTGTGTTGAATATAGAGTACAAATTTTACATTAAGAAATATACTGATAACATCAACGTTGTTTCCATAATTTAAATGAACATTTTTATATGAATTCTATATTAAACGTAACCCTTGGTTATGGTAATGGACATGAAGCATGCTTGAATGGCGCTCTAGTTAGTTCAGATAAATTACCTTGACCCACTTTCATGATCAAAATCACATTGGTCAATACATGTTTAAGTATTTGAATGACCATAACCAAAAGCTCCAGGTTCCTGATATATCATGGCTTGTAAATATACTGGGATGAAGGGTTACTAAGTCTGTTCAAATGAATGGCTTTGTTGAAGGTTAGCATTTTTACCTCTGTGACCTTGAATGAAGTAAAGGTCATTCGTTTGAACAAACATAATAGCTTTTTAATGCCAGCATGACTCTTTGGCCTTCCAGTTATTGAGAAGTTCCTTAAAGTGTATCAAGGTCATTCATTTATACAAACATTTGTAGCCCTTCATCCCAACATGATACATGTCTAATATCAGCATCCTGGGCCTTTTCGTTCAGAGGCGTTTTGAAAAGTTGTTTAAAGGTTTTCAACATATTTCCCCCTGTGACCTAGAAAGTGGGTCAAGGTAATTCATTTAGACAAACTTAATAGTCCTTTATCCCAGCATGCTACAGTCCCAATATAGGCACTCTGGCCCTTTTGATTATCGAGAAGATGTTGTTTAAGATTTCAACACATTTGACCCCTGCCAGCTTGAAAGTGGGTCAAGATCTCTCAGGTTAACAAACTTAGTCACTCTTTTTCCCGGCATGCTACAGGCCAAATATCAGCACTCTGGGACCTTTGGTTATTCAGAAGAAGTTGAAAATGTCCCATGTTTATGATGGATGACTTTATCTCAGGCAACTTAAAAACAAAGAGTCCTTGACTTATCATTTCTTCTACAATCATGTATATAGTTAATAAGTAGAATGTTTATGAGGAACATGAAATTTAACAAAAAATATTCTTATTACATATTGTTACAATACAATATGACTTACTGAGGAGCTGGGTGATCATGGCACATTACAAAAGCTGTAATATAATGTTCAAACAATGATCTATGTATGATATATCCATTGATATAGATGCTCTATTGAGTCGTAATCAGGATTAATATGATTAGTGATTATGATACAAGACCATCAAAATCACATATTGTTCCTATTGAATTCATTTTAAATAATACATGTACAAGACAAATTAGCAAAACAGAGAGTTGATTTTAATATAGATGTTTGAACAAACTGATTGAACTATAAAAGTATCTGTGCATTATTCTCCATCATCTGATATAGGGAATTTGCGTAATTTTGGAAACAGTAGATAACTTTTTAAAAATTAATTTAAAACCATTATATTGAATTTGACTAGGTTCATGGTATTGTGTTTTGACACTGCCCCCAACATGTGGATAAGTGGAACATGGTTATAACTAAACATTTTTAATATCTTTAAGAACAAAAAAAACCATGCATTGATGTAATATTTTTATTCAAAAACTTAACATTTCTATACAAGACACAACGTTGGAGACAAGTTTAAAGATGCATTCTATCATTCATCACAAAAAAGGACACTCATCATACAAGCTCTCTCCTCCCAACACCTATAACAGACATCCCAACATCCATCCTACTACCTATGATAACACAAACTACATATACCCCATCCTCGACCTAACTTCACCTATAACAGTCATTCCAACTATCATTCTCCTAACTTTAGGTGTTACCGACCACCTCTACGCCACTCTCAAGCCCTCTTCTCCTAGCCTCCTAACAGCCATCCCAACTACCACCTTAATATCAACATATAATACAAACTACCTATACCAGCTCTCAACCTTTCTTCTCCTAATGCTCTATAACGGCTATCCTAAAACCCAACCACCTATCTATAGATAATACTAAACACCTTTACCCTACTCTCAAGCCCTCTTCGCTCATCAACCACAAAAAGTCCTCCAACCTTCCATTCTAATTCCGTCATACAATATAAGCCCCTTCCGCCAAACACACTATAACAGCCATTTTAACTCCCACCCTAACTCTGATACCCCACCCTCAATTCTTCTTCTCCCAACAAACATCCTATAACAGCCGTTCCAACTCCCACCCCAACTCTGATACCCCACACTCAATTCTTCTTCTCCCAACAAACACCCTTTAACAGCCGTTCCAACTCCCACCCCAACTCTGATACCCCACACTCAATTCTTCTTCTCCCAACAAACTCTCTATAACAGTTATCACACATCTGATCCTTCTAGATAGATAATTTTTAATACTAATTACAACCCCAATCGCCATCCTCTCTTCTCTGAATTGCATCCTGTCTTCATTTTTCATTATAAATAACATTGACCTGTCTTCCACTCTTCTCGTAGGTCTGCAGTCCAAATATTCCAGACCATTCTGTTATCTCTTTAAAACAAACCCCATATTCAACATCCATATGAACTCAAATTATGACATTTAGGACAAACAGCATGTGCCACTGCATGATCTATCTCAAAAAAATATTATCATAATATAAAATTATTTTAAAAATATTAATCTTATTTCACCTAACAGTCTATGGTCTTGTCTCACTGTTAACATTATACGCCTTGCCTAACCCAAATAGCATGAACTTGTTTTATAAAATAGCACCACTAAAATGTGAAGCACATCACCATTTCATTGCAAATAATACTAATATGCAAGTAAGGTAGTACTTATGTATACAGTTTTATCTGGCAGTTGGTATGTGTATCCTTACAGTATCACACTGTTTTGGCGTTCAGAGTTAAACAATGAAGAATGAGAAATATTAATATTGTCAAACTTTCTATTATTTTTTGATCCAGCATCTTTTCCTCATAACTCCAAATTTTATATACTTGGTATTCAATTCAATCATATCATCAATTGAACACAAAAATATAAAAAAAATAATATTAATTTTTTTAATCTTCCGTTCTTTTCACTTAAATATTAAAGCATTAAGTACCAATTTAACTGTTATGATACACTCATGGTTAAAAAAAAAACAGATGAACATTTTCAATAACATTTTTAATGTGCATCTTATTTAAAAAGCACAAATTATGGATAAGAATCTTTGTCACTTAAAAGTATACATGCAAATTCAGTATCCAAGACAAAAATAAGATCTTTGTTTATGAAAGATCACTTCAATTACTGAACTTTCAACAATTCTAACATAGTCATATGTAAGTATAACCATATCATAACAAATTGTAAATACTTTTATTACAGCATTATGTCTGTAGGCTACCAAGAGGTTTGAAATCTATGATAGCAAAAAAGTTAGATTATCAAATGTAATTATTGATAGAATTTCTATTCACAGGTTATTTACATTCCAACAAGTCAAAAATATTTTGGAAGATTGCTTAAAGGGAGGTAACAACAAAAAAAGTTGAAGACTGAACACTGGATAGCCTTTGATATAGCACTTCATGCCCATTACTATATAATAGTAATATTATATTAAACACCAATAACTGGATCTTTTCTGTGTTTCAATCATTCCTAGGTAAACATTTGAGAGAGAAGTCTTGTCGTTAATGTTAATTCTGTACTGCAGAGCTGCTACTGAAGATCTAGGTCATCGGAACCTGACAATGACCCAACAGATGAATAACACAAACAATATAAACAGAAACATGTACCACCACAACCTAGGGCCACCTTTACTGGCAATGTCCTTTAAACGTCCCATGGTTGACTGTAATAATCCACTGCTTTTGTTGAAGTCATCATCCTAATCAACAAATGAAAACAAGATTAAACAAACAATGTTTTCAGGAAAAGGTTCTATTTATTTCTCAAATAAATCTTATGCTGTTGCCCACAATTTGAAAGACCAGAATATCTGAAGTAATGGCAATTATGTAGTGCATTTATAAATGATATGATTTCAAGTTTGCAGAAAATGTCTTCATGAACCAAAAATGTCTTCTATGTAAGCTGTTGAGTAATTGAGCAATTTATTTCAGGCCTATTTTGCCTCTTTCATATATAGGTCTTTATAGTCAGATGATCATTAAGGACAATGGGCCTTTTGTTTGTTCTACTGTTATTTCCAACCACCAGAATAGCTTCATTGCTTTCTTAAATAAATTTTGATACATTTGAAATCTGTTAAATAAGGGGAAAAAATTTGCATTCTTTCATTTTTATTTCTTACCATTTCTGTTAAAAACTTGTTCTGTTCTCGCACTTCAGTTCCTATGTCTATTGTCATCTGAAATACATTTAAAAATAAAATTGTAATGTCAAAGTAACTAAGGCTATAGTTGGTTGGCTTGTTACACAATTTCTAATTCCATGACTTTTCTTATCACTAGACACCATCTTACCACAAATAACAAGCTTCTGAAGATGTAAGGCAGATAATAACTGCTCTTACTGATATTCTGCATGATTAAGAAGACTACTTTATTAAGAAATAACTACGATTAGAAATAACAGATGTTAAAATCTTCAGATGGAGACTCTTGGTAAATAGGAGTTTGAACAAGTACCTGCAAGTTAATGGAGAAAATACTAAGTTTATTAATCCAGCGAAAAAGGTAATTTTCCCTTGATAAATCTTTGTCATTTTTAACTCAAGAATTAACCACTTTCACAATGAAATAAAAAGATTTTTGTTAACACATGATAAACTTTCTTGCAGATGCAAAATAGTTATATTCTAAACTTTGACTTAAATGTTGACTTAAACCACTTCCTTGGTTTGCTCAAATTTTGAGACCCTGCTATATCTCTCAGTACTAGGACTCAGCAAAATTTTGGAATTAGTCTTCTGAACTCATCTTACCAGCACCAGCAAAAATTACTGATAAAGGACTGATTAAATTTAATTAGCCTAAAACTCAAGTACAAAATTGAACACATTTTTCATCTTAAGATGAACCACAGCTAAAAATCAAGATACATACTAAGTTGATATATATTTGTTAATCCTTCAGGTAAGGATATTTATAGACCAACTTCTCACCAACTATTTCTATGGTGAAAACTAGTATTTTAGTGCATATCATAGTGATACAAATTCAATCAATTTTCTTGCTAAGTACAAATTTGGGATTTTGTTTTGTTTTGCCTTTTTTTTTTACACTTTTAGCAAAGTATGTACAGTACAGATTCCAATGAAAAACACAATGTTTCCTTATTCAATAATAAGTGCATTTTTTTCTGGTGTGCTAAAACCCTGTTCTAGCATATCTACAGCATATATTTACCTATGACATTTCTAAGCTGCTATTTTTGTGAATAGTCAAAACAATTTAATGTTAATGAAGTCTTCCAATTGGAAACATATGCAAAATATTGACTTGTCCTTAATCAACACATTTTGTTAAGGGAAGGTTGTCAAGTCTAGATGTGGGATACTTACAGACTTTAGAGCCTTCACTTTACTTGATAACTGATCCTCCATATGCTGGTTCTCTGCCTCCAACATCTGGGCAGTTGGTTTGTAGGGCTGCTCATTTCCTGTCAGACAGACAACACATGTAGCACTAATTTTGGTTATTTACTAGAAACAATATGACATCTGATAATCTGTGCCCCCAGTGACCAATATTCTCATGATAAATCATTGGAAGTTTAATCAAGTCAGTGGGTCAGACACAATATTTTTTGAGTTAAGAAATGATGATAAACGACAGGCCTACATGTGGTAAGGGAATGAATCTGGGATTTGAGTTCACATACTGTAATTGTATATGGAAAATACTCATATCTATTCATAAGGCAGATGCATTTATTCATATAATGATGTCTTTAGTTCAAAACTTTCCTCATCTTTCACCTTCATAAATGATCACATTCTTGATATCATAGCTGCTAAGGAACAATATCAGTCACACAGATTGAATATTGACAATGATGTCAAACCTCTCAAACACCATTTTGGGACTGGGGCCTGGGGCCCTTAGAATTGGGAAAAATAGCAGCATTTTCCTTAGAATTTGGAAAACTTGGGGTCTAAATTAGGAAAAAAGATACTATTTTGCATTGGGAATGGAGCTGAATATCGGCCCCAAATCTGGCAGATCTAGAGCCCTGGATGTATAGTCATCTATTTTGTTCTTGTTACTTCCCTAGGCACTTGCAATTGCATAATCAATAGTTTTGATACTGCTGATAATTTAGACACACGTCTTAATTAAGTCATGGTACTTTATCAGATATGACATCAGAAGCAAACATGAATCAAATACATATTTCAAGTAACAAAATGTATCCAAGCACATATCTGCTTGTGATCTCTGCAGAACCCAGGGGCATAAAACACGGGGAATGAAAGCAGGGTCCATGTAGAGGCATGATATTGTGTTTGCTATTGGGTTTGTTTATATATGGAGCTGTGAAGTCATCTAAGCCCTCTTCCTCAAAGTTGTTATCCAACCCTTGTCTACCTCAGCCCCACTCACTTCTAGACTATAGTTAGTGTTGATTTAGTGTAAAAGGGGACAGGTAGGTGTGGCATTTAAATTTCAATGCTTCTTTGGCTCAGTTGTTGAGTCATGAACTTTCACACAAAAGACCCAGATTTGATGCCTGTCAAGGCACAGGTTTGACACAAGTCACTGACTAGACCAGTCAAAAATGTAACTGTAAATGATTTATCATTAAAATTACGCGAGTTAAATAAACAATTACTCGTTTTGTGATGCCATTGATTTTAAAATGATGTTCTTTGTGTTGAAGGCTGAAAATGCCAAAGTGGTACACAATACAATGTATAAGCTGTAAATAAATTGAACAGACACTTTATTTTGAAAAATATGTAATGTTGATAGTAACTTTTGAAAAGTCGATCATGTTTAATTTTGAAAATTATTTCCACAACAATCTACGGTTTATTTTGAAAAAATAGTATGTAATTTGGGAGGAAAGATCAAATGTAGACACAGTCAAGGAATGTCAGCTCAGTGATTTTTGCTGGTATTACAATAAACGCTAGTCTACAGGCATTCGCTACTGGTTTAGACCAGAAGCAAGTGTCTGTGTCTAGGCCGGTGTAGACAGTTTCATATCCCTCTGATATCAACCGCGGCTGGCCGATCCCAGGGAAACGCCTTCCAGAATAATACGTTTGTGTAACAATGATGCCGATTCTTACCCATATGTGCTCGTCTCATCTCGGTTTTCTGTCTGATCTCTCGATATCAGCTGTAAATCCGACTTTATTATTGTCGGTTCTCTTTGAACACGTACTTTTTCCTTACAAGCTGTCACTATTTTGGACTCTGATGTGCTTTGCGTCATCGAAACACGTGTACAAGAGATCATGGTCACACGAATGTTTCCAGCATTTTACGCACAACTAAGGGTGCATAACTCGTCTCATCCTCGATACTCCAGAGGTTACGATCATATTCGAAAATGATCGCTACCCCTATCAAGTCGTTTCTAAATTTTAAAAAATTAGTAACTTAAAGTTTATTATTTCAAAATCATCCATAAAACGTTTGAATGCCAATTTTAAAACTGATATGAGATATCTTTGAGATATATTTTAATGAACTGTTGAGATATATCTGAAATCGCTCACTTTTAAAACATGAAATATTTATTTATAACATCATGTACTGCTCCCAAAAAGCTATAATTAAAGTTCAAGATTCATGAAAGTCAGTGAATTTCTACTGTTGAACTTATATTGTTTCTGTTTTTAATACGGCCGTTTCTGATACTTAGTTATAATATCTTCAAATGCTTAAAAAAATACAGCGTCTATGACTCCCATACGAAATGGCAAATGAGTGATGTTAGAGTAATGTTTTATCACGCGGTATGCGAAATTAATTGAGCGTTGTTAAATTGATGAAATGTGTGTGTAATAAGAGACATAGCCAGAAATTTGGGTCGAAGTGATGCTTTTTATACTCCCGCAAGGACATATTATAATGCGATATGACGTTGCCCATCCAATCGTGATAAAATCATACACATAGCCCGATATAAAGGTACTTCTTTTATACGTCCCTGGTATCTCCAAAGCTTTTCACTATTAAACCAGAACATGAACCGTTATTTTATCTTAAAATCTCGGTTTTATCACACCTTTTTTTTTTTTTTTTAAATTTTTGTTATATACACATGACCTGAATTTTAATTTCCTTACCTATTATCGCCTCAGTTTGCTTTCCCAATCCTTCCAACGATAATGGCTGCAATCTGATTAAGATAGCTTTCTTTCTGGGAGGTTGGGAGGTCAAAGGTCAAGGCTACTAAAGATTAAAATTAAATCAAATCCGCATAACACCTCAATTATTCTTGTTGTCTTAAACGTCCCCATGTGCTCCACCGAAGAAAATATTTGCTTGTAATTGGTTTTTTTTTTCAAAATTGCAGTTTTATTTTTCATCAAAAACAATATCAGTATTCTCTTATCTTTCCTTGACTAAAAAACATATCAATCATGATTAACATCCAGCACTCCTTGCAAAATCCTATCAATGTATTATGAGATAACTCATTAATTCGTAAATATATATATATAAATAATAACAGGTATGTCAACATTATTATATGTTTCACACTCCACAAATGGATTTCCCAAACACCCATAGAGAAATTATCATATTCCTTTCAAAAAGAAATATGATATCGAAGACGATAATCACACAATTAAATCCTGTATCTACAACGGAAACAAATTACCCATCATACGTATGAATAGTTACTGATAAAAGAAATAGTTCTAATATGTCTATTCCTGATATCCATGCTTTTAACTTTGCAAAGAAATTAGTATTGTAAATGGTCGATAATTAGAATGTACTGATTTCTTTGTGAAACACCCCCTTATCAATACCCCACGACGACTGAAAGCGGCGGGGGACAGACGGACTGACAGACGTCTGAACCAGTTTGCACGTTAAACCAAAGTTTGTCAGTGCTATGTCGGATTCACCCCTTGAGGGATTCTCGTCAAAATTCACACACTTATAATGCATCAATTTTCTCTGACAAGTTTGCGTTTCAGGGTTGATGAGTCAAGGTGTTTTTTTTTTACTATTTTTAGAAATCAATGTCAGCGCTCCAGAGGCTTCATTCCATGCGGGGATCTCGTCAAACTTTACCAACTTATAAAGAATCAACATGGCTTGTGCAAGTTCAAACATAAGGGTTGTATATGAAAATCTCTCAGGGAGTTGAGACGATAGAGTGCTTACAATACTTTTCACTAAAAATAGGAACAAAAACATTGAAAAAACATCCCTGAAACTCGAACTTGTCAGAGATGTAATAGTTGCTTGTTAGTGTTAGGTTTTGATATTAAAAAAACGCTGCAGTATGATAGAGACTGAAAATTATTTTCTAAAAGTATCAACTTGCTCAAGATACGGTCGTTTGAATGTGTTCCAAGACGGAGGTATTGTGTTGCTATTTCACGGCCCCGTCAAAAAACGCCACGACAGCCATTTTGCAAGAAGAGTCCGTCGACTAGAGTATGAGATCCTGAAGCCAGACTAAAGTTCATGCAAAACCTTGTGTATGATTTTTGGTCCCAAAAAGAAAATGAAGTCACACACCAGTTGATAAATTCATATTTCGTTCAAAGATCAAAATATTCTTTTCCGTTCGGCTGTAAAATACAGTAAGATGATGATAGACAATTTCCATTTCTTAAATGGAGAAGAAATTGTCTCCAGAGTAGAAAATCAATCGAAGAGTGAAATTCCTCGACAGAAATAGTAACTGTCTATTTCAAAATTCAAGAAAACTCTATGTTCAGCTCTCATACAGTGTCATTTCGACCATGCCTGTTCTTCTTGGTGTGGGGGCCGGTATTTCTAAACTATACAAAACAAAGTCGCAGATGAGCTAAGAGTGGTCCGCTTTTTTCTAAACCTTACTGATAGGACAAGAATTCTAGGTTCCAAAAACATTGTCATACTCAATAGTAGGAAGAATTCGTCAAATTTGCTAAAATTATTGTATGTCACTTATGTACAAATGACACCGATATGTACATGAATTCCTAACAAAAAATAATAACGACACTCGAATAGGGCACGTGATATGGAAATTCATATTTTACTACTGCGGATGAAGAGGGTACGGAAGAAATGTTTCTTTTTCCTTTTTAGGTTTCGAAAGATTGGAACGACTTTATCGGATTAGATAAACCAAGGTTACGAACACTTTATGCTCCAAGCAAAATTCGAATCGGATGACTTTCTGCGGATGTGTGATCTTTTCATTACTCTTGTCACAATAAATTCAAATTGATTTTTATCTAAATATAGAGTCTGACAACAAATCATACACATTTTGTGGTTCTATGGATAATATTGGGAAAAGGGCGATTTATATATGTATCTGCTTTCTTGTGTTACCTCTCTCGTTTTATGGCATCGCCTGCTTTTTTCATACTGTTGTTAGCTTCTTTTTAAATAATAAATAATAAAGGAGATTGCAAAATATATTGTTATGTGATCTTTTAAACATCCAAATGCATATAATGTGTATGGCATCACATGTGTAAAATATCTAAATAATAATGATATGATATCATGTAATATGCTTACTTTACCACAATAACAATTATTAATAATTATCCAAGTCAAAGTCGTGTTATTACTAAACATGATTCAAGAATAGTTTAGAGGCGAGGTCCTAACTGGTAAAATTGTTTTCAAATGGAAAAAATAAAAGCAAAAAATCTGGTTTGTAAGCTGTGATACAAATTTGATTTTTTTTTTATCAAATGCTATCCATGTGAAACACGTGTGATATCTGACGCAATGTTTACATTTTGTTAGGATCATCCGCCATTTTAAGGTCATGTGACCAAACGCAGAGCGAGTTGGCTGTTCTATTGATATAGTTTACATAGGTGTGCCTTTGCCCCGTCGTATATTTTCACAATAATTGACTCTTAAATGATATATGCACAACTCAGAAATGTTAATTAAGTTATCTTTAAATAATGCATGTAGTATCAGTCAGAGATAATTCTAACATATGCCAAATATTTTAATTATTATGACAATATCGAGGGGGTGTTGTATATTGTAACAGCTGTATACAACCACTCCCAAGTGCAGAGCACACGATTAGTTTTATCGTGTGTTATCTTGCTTGACACCGCTAAAATCATATATCTGGATCATTTCTGCCTACAGACAGGATAAATAACTTCTGGGTAAGTGTGTATTTTGTATTGTAGCTCGTAATATTCAATTTTGGTCCGTCAAGTGCATATGTTTTGGGAAGCAATCCGACATTTTCCGCCATGTTGGTGAAGTTTTACCTGGCCCGTCAAGTTTATTATTATAATTTAGCAGGTAGAGTGATGTTGATAAATGTATCTGTCTCGCGAGTAAAGACGCTTTATATTTGCCAGCTAAGTAATGAGATGATGTGTTTATTCTCGTTGTCGTTTTCGTTTGGTAATGCATAAAACACACACGTGTGTCCTTTAATTTAACAACTTACACAGGTGTGTCATGAACGGTTTATAGTATTAGGGTGTGGACCATGATTAAGTGGCAGTTACATATAGCTGTTTCTATACCCCAAGGGCTTTGCTTGTCTCATGTGTTTACAAATTGACATGTAATTTACAATTACCATTGTACCTGCCGAAATACATGCACATGTTTTTACCCTCACATAGCTGACATATTGTGTATGATATACCATCTAAAAAGTCATGCTCTACTGAGTTTTACATTCCATTCATTCAACACTACTATTTCTAACCAACTGTTGTGTTGACCTTTAGACATATTTTAGGCCTGTTTAAATTACCAAACATTGAAACATTTATAGATCTATGTATTGGCTCAAAATTACAGATTTCACACCAAGATTATTACGATTGCTTATTTTCATATTGGGAACTTGTAAGCTTTACTTATTAAGCAACAATTGCGAAATAAGTTATTAATCACATTTGCTTAACCGGATGGAAGGGCGTTAGGGGTAGTGTTATTTTTATTGAAAACCTGAGTTTTAGACATGTGACCTCACTTGATTAAAATGTACTGTTTGTATACAGATTGTCCTGTAACCGATGATATTCAGTTGTTAACCAGCTTCTTTAATGAGATGGAGAAATATGACATGTCAATTTGTGTGGGAGGTGCAGGCAGCACAACACCTGAATCTTAGTTCATTTCTTTAGGTCTATAAATAAATATAAATATTATTTAGTTTACAACAATAATACAACAAGCATTAACCTATATTAATCATTCTTGTTGGCCAGGATGGTAGTAAGGGAGAG